ACACGGTAACAACTCACAACTAGACAGTTGCAATTGTTTGTTCGTGTGACTTGTGATGGAAGACAAATGAGACGGTGGGGCCAGACCACACCCTCTTTAGCACAAGGTCCTGCAGTGTCTTCTTATCGGAGGAATGGTGCCACTGAGACAGATCGCAGGTCGTGTCGGAATCCTCTGGGGGAGGTCTTACTTCTCGCCCCAACACACATCTTCGACAAGAAAACCTGGGGGGAGAGAGAGAGAGAGAGAGAGAGAGAGAGAGAGGAGGGGGGTTGTGTATATAGGGAAAATGGAAAAACGAGGATTAGTACATATACCATAATAAAAACCAAATTCATTTGGCAATGAATACAACTTTTTCCGTTGAATATGGACAGAGGAATGACAATAAAACTCCTTTAGTAAAAGACTGACCTGTCATCGTGTGTGTGTGTGTGTGTGTGTGTGCGCGCGCGGACAACAGGAGCTACTGGGTGCATTTGCGTTGCTTATTTTACTGATGGAAGCACATTGAAAGAAAAACAAAAGCCACTGTCTCTCAACACACAACATTAACAGTGTGACGCTTCTCCGCCTGCACTATACGAGTACACACATCTACGTATAATTATTTTTAGGGAGCTATGTATAATGGAGTCAGGGTCTGTGGAGGTAAACAGTACAGAGGGTGCACTATGACTCTATGTGTATTGTACTTCATGAATTTTCAACCTGCATTCACCAGATTTATATACACAGGTGTGCCACATAGACCACGATTACAGGGTATGACAGCACAGATCGGGGAGTAGTGCAGAGGGTGAGGGGAGTTGTATATAGTGTGCCCTGATTATGAATCTAGTTTTAGACGCTCTATTACGTCACTGTGATTGTGGAAAATGCTGCACTTACATCCCTCAGTGCATAGTCCCAGGAGATTTCAGAATTCCTCAGCCAGAGTGTGTTACTACTCTAAGCGTAGCCCCTTCTGTCAGTTACGCAAACAGACCTATGTGTATTGCACGCAACAACCATGTACAGCAATGTAAGGTAGAGGTATATATGGGAAACGGTACTTTGTACTACCTTACAATATGCAATAATAATATACGCTCAATTGACTCAGGGTTTCCCCTCCAACTGACTTGTCGTGGGTGTCAGAGGCGGTGTCTGTGTTGAGCTGAAAGAGTTTCCTGAGATCATCGAGAGAGAAATGCCTCTCCACATCTTCTTCCTTGTCCACCACACAACTGCTGAGGGCCTTCTTGTGAGCCTGTCGCTGAAATATCTTCTCCTCTATGGAGCCAGTCTGTGGGGGGGAGGGAGGGAGAGAGGGAGAGAGGGAGAGAGGGAGAGAGGGAGAGAGGGAGAGAGGGAGGGAGGGAGGGAGAGGGGGAGAATAAAGACACATTGTTGCACAAGTAGCTGGAGCAGAGCTTTACAGATTGCGCATGTAACTGCAAGCATCATGCATTAGTAAGTAGAGTGTATTTCACAGAGTGAGTGAGAAACAGTCTGTAAGATAGCTGCTTGTTTAAAAGACACGTTCTTCCTCCGTAATAAATCTCGTTTTTACATGAAATACACAAAATAGCGAAATTTTTTCCAATTGTGGTTGCACACTAGACTATTTTTTTATATTAGTGGTGCATAGCATTACAACTCACTGATAACAGTCTGTATATAAACACCTGAGGTGAGAGGAAACGAAGGAAATAAGGGAAATAGAGTGAGGAGGAAAGAGGGACATATAACAGAGAAGCGATTCATTTTTCCCGGTTCGGGTAAGGAAATTGTTGACAAAAGCTGTTTTTCCACTTCCTAATTTGGGTGAGTGTATGGTATACAACAGGCCAGTCCCAAGAGCAGGAAAACACACACAAGAACTCATCTCACATTCCCCAAGAGGGACAACGAAGCAAAACTGTGCGCAGTGTCGGTAAATGTATATATAGTACATGAACACGGCTGGCATTGGAAATAGTATAGCTTGGAGCCAGCACCACTAGAGACTGGTGTGTATGCTGCTGTATAGATCATGTCTTGGGAAAAGAGGGGGAGGACGAGAGTATGAGGTTGCTTTGATATTCAACCAACCCCGTTACATGTGTATGCTGATGATGCACACGTATCCACAATCTGGATAGCTGTTAAAGAGCACTCAGCAGCACACACAGTTTAAACCACTGATGGCTGTTGGTCACATAATGTACTGCACTAAGAGGATGACATCATTAAATTTTATCAGGACACCCCAACCAATCAGGACACCCCAACCAACCAGGAAACCTCAACCAATCAGGACACCCCAACCAATCAGGACACCTCAACCAATCAGGACACCCCAACCAATCAGGACACCTCAACCAACCAGGACACCTCAACCAACCAGGACACCTCAACCAATCAGGACACCTCAACCAATCAGGACACCCCAACCAATCAGGACACCTCTAAAAAGCGATTAATACGAACACACCTCTTTCTTCTGTCCGTCTCTCCACACTCTAGCCATTGCCTGATCGTCATTAGCTGGATTCCAATCGGGATCAAACATCACCAGTCGATTTGCACCAATCAGATTGAGGCCACACCCACCAGCCTTACTGCTCAACATGAACACAAAATCCTGCGTCTGAGCAACATTTAAAAAAACGTTTTCTACATGAAAAATACACGTTTTTTTGTTTGATTACTGTGGGATCGTTGAAATGGTCCACAATTTTTGCCCTCTTTTTGATAGACATGGAGCCGTCTAGTCTGACGTATCCGTACCTGTAGATACAAGAGACACCAGAAACATGTGTTGAAAACGAAACTGCAGCATGCAGTGAAAATTATCAACAAACTGACAGTGTATCGAAAACTGCTACAGAAATGTCAGTTCAGGTCTAATATGGGATGGATGAATGTAATATTGACCTGCGGAGTCTGCAGAGTTGCTCAAACAAATCCAGTGTCTGCGTATAGTTGGATACCAGCACCACCTAATGCAGGGATTAACCAGAGACAGGAGGGGTATATATAATATATACACACACATGATACAAGGGTGTTTAGGGAATGCATCAGAAAAATGGAAAAAGTTAAGCTGAAGTACATACATGATGTTGGACGTATTTATAGTTGTAATTATTATCGGCAACGGTGGAGGCTAAAAGTTAGCTAACAGACCTTGTCGCTGCTAGTAGCTCTAGTAACAGCCAGCAGACAGTCCAACACCAGCATCTTACCTACAGAGTCAAAGTGTGCAACGCATCGAGTAAAGAGTAGAGTAATTTCCCAGATGTGAGTTGTACCTGAGAATTCGGGCTGGAGTTTCTTGGGGTCAAAGGAGGCCGGGAACAAGTCTAGGGCACCCTCAAACCCCTCTTCTCCCAACTGGGCTTTCTCGTACACCAGCTGTGGGTCTGAGGGAGGGAGAGAAGATTATAGGTGTAACTTAACTGTCACAATCCTGATTACACCTCTATCTCGCTGTCCCCATCTCACTTCTATCTCGCATCAGTATCCCTCTCTCGCCTCTATTTCGCTGTCCTTATTCCTATCTCACTTTCTCGCTGTCACCATTCCTATCTCGCCGTCCTGTTTCTATTTCGCCTCTATCTCACCTCCATTTTGGTGTCCTTATTCTCTTCCATAATTATAATAGCCAGACCAAACACAGACACTCTATGGGCACATACTGCTGCATAGGTATAATACATACGATTGCAAAGTTTCTTGAGAAGTGTGATGGCCGACAGCGACGAGGCAGTAGTCTTTCCTTTCCCTTTCTTCTCCCTCTCTCCACCATTTCTGGCGAGTCTCTGGGCCAGCTGTGAGTTAGTGAAGTGGGTGTAGAGTTCTGTTTGGAACGGAGTTAGTCTGCAGCACACGACCTTTGGGAGAGAGCGAGAGAAGAGAGAGAGAGAGAGAGAGAGCGAGAGAGAGGAGAGAGAGAGACTGAGTGACAAGGCGAAGCGAGATGTGAAGGATTTTTAATGTTTACACATTAAGTCTGAAGAGGAAGAGACGAGAGAGGAAGAGAGAAGGAGAGAGGAAGAGAAGGTGAGAAGAAGAGAGACGAGAGAGGAAGAGAGAAGGAGAGAGGAAGAGACAAGAGAGGGAGTTGAGGGAAGCCTCAGCCGAAACATCCGCCATTAGACAAACCTGTTCCGTTTTCACTGGAAGGTATTTAGTGAGCAATGCAGCGGTCCTCCTAATTATACACCTGCACAAGAAGTCTTAGTAAGAACAATGACGTATAAACTACACAACTACATTCCATTGCCCACAGAAGGCTACAGAAGGCTACACACTTTAGTAAACTCACTCCTATAATGCCATAACCTTTGTTCATTTCCCTCACATACACACACACACATTCCCCAACACAATGAATGACTTTCTGAGAAATGACCTAATCTACACTTTCTCCCGGAATTCCTCAATTTCCCATTTTAAACTGTGACCTATAATATTATCTCACAGGTTACATGGTGAGTGTACTTTCAAGATTTAAACACACATCTAAAGTAACCCCACTGCCGGGCCAGTACCACCCAACGGGAGAATTTGCAAGATGTCGTAATAAAAACTTCGCAGTTTGTGTACCTGTTGACAATGGCGGCCAGCTCGGTGAGCCTCTCCTTGCCACGTTCAATGTCTCTGTCGCTGGCCGAGGCGTCGCGACCTCTCAGGATTGGAGTCTCAAACCTCCTCTTGAACTCTGTGGTGGTGCCTGGAGAGAGAGAGAGAGTGGGGAGAGAGGAACATTACACATACATACAGGCAGCAATAAAGCTTTAATACTTAACAATAGGGGAAACTTTGACTGAAAACTGGCTGAATTTTGATAGCAATTCACTTTGCTTTCTTTCTCGAGAATTTCCCACTAATGGTATGCAGTGAATAAGGGCTCCCTTTATTCAGAAGCAATTTCACACACTAATGTTTTAGTATGGGCAGAACCAAGTGTCTTGTATAGAGAGGTCATTTTTCAGATGTTCTCCTCTTTAGTAAAGGCTTACCGAGGATTCCCGTGTTGACAAAGTGAAGTAGACTGAAGTACTCAAGGAGGTCGTTCTGAATTGGGGTCCCGGAGAGGAGAACCCTCCTCCTGGTCTGGAGCTGGGTCAGAGCTGTGTAGGTGAGGTTCTCACAGTTTTTCAGTCGATGGCCCTGCACGTGTCGACATACACAATGGGACAGAAGAAAGATGAGGAGAGAGAGAGAGAGAGCGAGCGAAGAGAGACTAGAGAAGCACAGAGAGAGATCCGAGAGAGCGAGAGCATAGAATCTATTCATAAGATAGACGATCTCCTCGCGCCCAACCGCTCTCTCGCTCTCTCTGCGCTCCGCTCAGCGAGCTCTCTCTCTCTTCCTCGCTCCTCCTCCTCTCTCTCTCTCTCTCTTCTGCCTCTCTCCTCTTCTGCGCGATACTTTGCTGACTCTCTCCTCTTCTCCCCTCTCTCCTCGTCCTCCGCGCGGCGCTCTGCGCTCTCGCGGTCCGTCAGCTTCCTCGCTCCTCTCGCGCTCTCGCGCTCTCTGCTCGCCACTCTCTCCCTCCCTCTCTCGCGCGCTCTCCGCCTCTCGCACGCCGCGCTCCGTCGCGCTCCTCTCGTCCGACTCTCCGCGCGCTCGTCGCTCTCTCTCCATCGCTCCTCGCTATCGCTCTCTCTCCTCGCTCCGTCTCGCCGCTCTCCCTCTCTTCTCTCAGCGAGTCGCGGCGGGCAGGGTGCGGAGGAACTGACAAGACGCCGCTGGAGGCAAGTAAACGAGGGGAAAATATGGGGGACCTGAAGACCTCTACGAAAGAGTTGGGCTGATAAGCTCGTTTTTCAACAATAGCATGGAATGAAGGGGTGAAAAGGGGACTATTTTACGGCCAGTAGGTTGAGGTATCAATATGACTTGCCTCGTCACAGATGACAAGGCCGACCTTCCCGCGGTGCAGTACAGGAGAGTGGAGACGAAATGTCTCGTAGGATATGATGAGGATGGGGGTGGGCGAGCGGCGACCATGTTGACACATGAACTGAGCTGAGATAGAGAGAGAAGAGGAGGAGGAGAGAGAGAGAGAGAGGCCTCATATAGCATCATTGTTGCGCACAATGGTGCAAACCCAACTATTTCTAAAGGTGGATAACAATACACCCAAATGAATATCTCTACAATTGCATGCATACAGCTATGACTCTACCAAATAAGAAGTAGAGCTAGTGAATATCGGATGTGCACATGTCCCGCTGGAGAACACATGTCAATCAATTTCATTCATGAGTTGACAAGGCTTGCACAGATAAACAATGCTTGCTTAAACACAATTGTTTGGATGACCTTTCCTCATTACTTACTGAGCGAGGAATCAATTTGCTCCTTGGAGCCAGAGTCAATAGCTAATGGATGAACCCTCCCACCCAGCCATTTCTCTATCTCCTTCTGCCAGTTCTGAGAGAGACAAAGGAGGAGGATTGATCGTAAAACCACAAGCCACAAAGCCTGCCAGACGCACACACACAGCACCTTCACAAGGCTGGACGGTGCTACAACTATGGCCTTGTCAATCACAGGAGTTGCTAATAGTGGAGAGAGAAAGAGAAGAGTCAGTCAAATAGAAACGCACTCAATAGCTGTTCTCTAACCATCTGGGCCCTGTCGAAGTAGGGTCCACATTAGCGCGATACATTGAAGGGTCTTACCCAGACCCATCTCGTCCGCCATGATGCAGCCAAAGTTGTCTTCAATACGCTGTCCTGAGGGGGAGGAGGAGCAAGGGTTTTCAGCTCAATTAGACACTTTCTCTTCTGCCCCATTGGTGTCCGGATTAGAGGTGTCCCACTGTATTTTCAGCAATTACTTAGCTAAGTGTAGAGGAAGGTCCCCGCATCAAAATTGATTCTATAGCTACACAATTTTACAGGGCTGAAAGTGTAGTGCTCAAAGTCTATCTGACTTCACCTGAACCGTTGAAAAATTTGCAGGTAATTGTAAAAACGCAAAGATATTTGAGAGAGAGAGAGAGAGAGAGAGGTGACCTGTGACGCAGTCCCACATAAACTTGACTCCTTCTCTCTGGTGGGGTCTGAGGATCCTGGCCAGACTGGGGTCAACTACCACATGTACCTCCACCTTTGACCTGCACGTAAAGCCACAGCACTATCTTATACAGACCACACCCTCAGACAAACTACTACGGCAGAACAGCAGGAAACTAACTACAAATTCTCGTCGTCTTTGAGCACAATAATAAAATAAAAATATGAAAAAAACAACCACCAACACTCCCCTTCCCACCAAATGACCTGGTTTCATACACCAGGGCCCTCTCGGAAAACCTTCAAACACGGAATCTTCATGCCTTTTACCTGCTTGGAGGACACCTTGAGAAGTGTATCGCACAAAAGGCCCATGATCTTCAAATCTTCCCAGTACAGTATACCGTAACACAACCCAAAGCCGAACCACTGATGAGTACATGTAGTTTTGTGAACTAGACCAACATGTCGACTGAGAGTTGCTCGTGGGCAGAGAGGAGGCGAGGGGCGTGAAGGACGAGCGCTCCCTCCTCGTAGGGATCGTGGAGAGCCGTCCGCACTCCACTCCGTCTCATTCCCAGACCTCGGACAGGTGGGCAGAGCCTGCGAGACAAGGAATTTCATTCCAGGTGGTCCCCACTGGGTGGAGTGAGGGTGTGGCTTACCGGCGTAGTTTGGTTTTGGCATTTTGAATGCTTTTGCTAGCAATTTCTTTATCATCTCCTCCTGCAAGCAAATGCATGAATCGTGACAATTTAGGCACGTGGATAATCACACAATTTAGCTGCTATCAAGACAACAGCTTTCTTGACATGTACTGTATCATACAGTAGTATGCACACATTTACATTTGACTAGCATAGAGGATTAGAGGTAGAAAGATAAGAGAGACATGCTTCTATGATAAGAGTTACCGTGGACATGTTTTAGCTTGAATTATAGAGAAAAAGTGAAAAAGGCTGGTGCAAAAGGAACATACATGACCGAGAGGTGTACTGTCACTCTCTGAAGCGGATTCCACTGAAGACGGTTGACCAATTGAATTGTGTGGAGCCAGGGGTCGCCTCCTGTCATTATCAACAATAACTGCCCTCTGTAAGTATACAGAGAGATGTGTCTACGGCCTGCGTAACTGGGAGCTTACTTTTGAAGGCGGAGACACATTTTCACTGTCGTTCTTTCGCTTAGAGACTTGACTTGGAGCACACGAGCGCCTCTGCAGCATGGGAAGAGTACACTATTAGAAAAGAGTAAAGTAACTGCGTATATACCATGTTGTCACGCTCGTATCCCTTTGAAAATCGCGGGAGCTCTATTTACCGCCCACTCCAACCTGCAGTACATGCGCATGCGCAGAGTGCTGCGTCTTTCGCGCATGCGCCGGTGTACAACCACGCGTGGTCATGGTGGTTGCGGCAGGACTATAATCTAGCGAGCGAAAGAGTGTCCATAATTATTACGAAAGATCTTATCTAAACCCATTGCTCTTCACTCTTACAATAAAAAAATCAGCTTTCGGCCCTCAAGCTAGGCTATCGTTTCCGCAGTGTGATTCTCTCCTGTCCATGCTCTCCTGCACTTGCATCTGTTCTGCCACAGCTACTGTCTTCTGCGAGAGTGAGGCGATCGATAATCTGAGGAGGAGGTGGCTCAATAGCCAGCAGTGTGGCAACCCGCCAGAAACTCTGCAGAAGAGGCTCTGTGAAGTCTTTCTCTGCCACAAGGAGCGAGTGGTATCTCAGGAAGACCAGGAGGACACCGGAGGCCATCAGCAGCTGGTGTTGCTCACAAAACTCTCTCTGGGTGTTGAGTGAGAACAGCAGGGCCAGGACCATTGCTACTTTGGTGATACTGCAGACAGAGTATGCAAAACTGGGGCTAGTCAATTCTCGTGTGAAGGAATGTAGTTACTCACAATGATGGTTTCTTGAGCTCCAAGGCTGAGGCAGATTGAGGCTGGTAGACTAGTCGGTACCAAGTTATACCCCACTTCTTACCACTCCCTGCAAAAACAGCCATCCACATAAAATAAATGGGAAACTAAAAAGTGAACATTGAGACGTGAGATCTGTTAATTGACAACCAATCCATGACTGTCTCATAATCCTTCTATTATTGGCGAGTGAAGTGAGCAAGCTTACTTAGTGGTCCAAACGGTGCTTATTTTTTATGTCATACTGGTGCACATGAGTAATTATCGCTTCCCCGCTCATGAAAAATGCTCTGCATTCACACACTAGAGTGTAGTTTTGTATCGATATATATATACCTTTTAACAGTCCAACGACTGCCATGGCAACCAAAGACTGTGGGTAGAGGGCAGAGGCTGCCGACACTCCAGAGACGATCTTCTTGGCCCTCCCCACCTCCTCTAGGGTGAAGAGGAGCAGCTGGACAGGCAGAACCGAGCAGAGGTGGTAACACACGTCCAGTGGACCCAGAAATATTAGATACCTGTCCATGCAAACGAGGAAAGAGGTTTTAAGAAACTTTTTAAGAGAGAAATTTTCAGATTCGTTAGTTTTTGCAAAGGTTTCGTTCTTTTCCTGCAGTAAAAGTAGCACTAGAGAAAAGGTTCATGGTTGGGCCGAAAATTATGTTTTCTCTCTTGAAAGTTGTCGTACCAGCTGATAACGGCTGTGGCAACGCTCCACCCATTGGCCACACACTCCAGTGGGGGAGCACCTGTCATTAAATTGGCCAGAATCCCGCCGGAGGATGCCACGATGTACGTCATGACACACGAGGCCACAGGATGCTTCATTGCAAACTCAGCGCTACCTGCAGCTCACAGAACAAAAGATATTCTGTCACACAACAAGCCGGAGCTGACCTATACAGGTTCAGCATAACATACGGTAAAGCAAGCATCTTGCATTTAGTTACTAAGGCGAGCAAATATCGCCGAGAGATAGGAGAGTGTAGGGTAAAGGCGCACCAGGCTCTTTTCTGAGGGCGTAGGCAGTAAGAATGAAGTGAACGGAGGAGAATACGGGGTGGAGCGGGAGGGAATGGAGATAGCAAGCCAAGTCGTCCATCCACGGCAGCGAGAAGAAGAGTCTCCAGGCTGTCCCCACTACCTCCATCTCCTGTCCTCTCGAACGTAAACAAGACAAGTGGGCGTGTTTATTGGATTTGACCTCTGTGACCTACCCACGTGGTAGGTACAAGCGATGGCTGGCTCAAGCAGCAGTCAGCTTTTCTGTCCGTTTCGCGCCGTCGGTTTCTGCTGCAACCATGTCCCGCTGGTGACGACGTGTAGAGGTCCAGATCACTTCGTGGTGACGGCGGTGGGACAGTCCTTCCACCAGTACACGGTAATATAGGCTCTATTGCCCCCCCCACTTCTGTGCTTCATTTGATAACCCTACTTCTTGTTTCTCCTGCACAGTGTGATAAGCTGCAACTGCTGTTTGTAGGTGAGCGTTATGGTAGTATAAAGTCAACTGTTTCCTCCCAAATGTTTTCCGCAACTGGTATCCAAATAGCTAAAATTTTTTCGCTGTACTTCAAAGTTGATTTTGGTGTACATGTATGGTCCATGTACAAAGGTACCCCTCAGCCACACCCACTGGAGTGCCTGGCGGCGACAGACCCCCGTCTCGTCTGGGCCAGCTACGGAGCCGTCGTCAAGGGTTTCCGTCGGGGACGAGAGGTGTGTCGTTTCCATGGACACAGGGGAAATGTGACAATCCTACTTCCATTTGGAGAGCACCTCATCTCCATTGACGACCAAAACTGCCTCAAGATATGGTCTGTGAAGGACAAAGGTCAGAAATACTTCATCAAAAGACTCCTACAGTGATTAAACAGGCATTGTAGTGTAGCTTGAGGGAAAATATTTGTGTTTAAAAATTGTGTCTGTATATATAAATGGCAATCCCTGCAGAAATTGTTTCTCAAATTAATCATTTTCCTGCTATCGTAGTAATTCGGACTAATTCCCTCCTTGTTAGAGCTGTATGGAGAGGTGTACTTTGACCTCCAGCTGTTCCCCATAACATGTGCTGTACATCCCAGCACTTACCTCAACAAGATCCTCCTCGGGAGTCGCAGCGGCCAGCTTCAGCTGTGGAACATCAGAACTAGTAAACTGATCCACGCGTTCCCCGGCTGGGGAGGCTCGGCCATCCTCACTCTCGTACAGAGCCCCGCAGTTGATGTAGTGGGGGCGGGGCTTGAGGATGGGGGCGTGGTCTTGCACAACCTCCGCTACGACGAGACGGTCATGAGGTTTCGGCAGGAGTGGGGACCGGCCACCGCACTCTCATTCAGAACTGGTTAGGATAGGGTTAAATTAATTAACCTCTGGCATACATCGGCAGCAAGCATTACGGTTATACAATGGAACCTCTCTCTAAGGACACACCAAATAAGGACACCCCTCTCGTAAGAATTCCCCCAAGAACAGTTTCTTGTGTGCAATTATTACCTAGAAATGGACGTTGTCTTGTGAAGTTGTGTTGTATTGTGTACAGACGGTATCAGTACATTGGTGTCTGGAAGTCCGAGTGGTGACGTAGCAGTATGGGACCTGGACAGACGGCGACTGTCTTCAGTCGTTCGCCGGGCACATCACGGTCCAGTGACTGGTCTGCAGGTACGTAAACATCACTGAAACCACAAGGGACGAATGCAACACATTATTGGCAAGCGTGCAGTGGGTGGAGCTAGGAGTACCTGTCTTATCTCCCTGAGTTACCAAATCAAAATTTGTGAGGTCCTATTTGGTTTAATGTTGCTCATTTCTTTTCCGAAGTTCCTGCCGTCGCAACCTCTCCTGCTGAGCTCCGGTCCAGACAACGCCCTCAAGATGTGGATATTCGACCAATCAGACGGCAGCGCCCGACTCCTGAGGTCAAGGTGCGGCCACAGTGCCCCGCCCACTCGGGTCCGGTTCTGGAGCCGCGGTGGCCTGGGATTACTGAGTTCCGGTCTCGACCACTCCCTCCGGCGACTCTCCATCACTAGAGACGTTCAGTCCAATACTGAGTTCTCACAAGGTTAAACCCAAAATACAGTCGGCACCCCACCTCAAAGAGTTAAACAATGTGTTCTTTTTTAGTGCTAAAGGAGTTATGATTTTGACTCTGATACCTTAGGAGTTAAACAAAAATGTCTCTCTATCCGGGACAGGTTCGGTTGTGAAGAAGGCCAGAGCGAAAGGAGTTAAAGCAGAAAGCCTGAAGCTTCCACCAATCACAGCGTTTGCAGCAGGTATAATATATACAGTATGGCATTGTACTTACTTAGTGTATGGGTCTATGATGGGGAAAGTGTTTCGACCATTGGCTAGTGTGTGACTCAGTGCATTGTGGTGGTCTCTGTTCCATTCCTCTCAGAGATGACGCGGGCACAGGAATGGGACAGCGTGGTGACCTGCCACGCCGGATTCCACTCCGCACAGACCTGGAACATGCACAACCACGCCATCGGGAAACACAAACTGCGATCGCTGCACAAGGCTGCCAAACCACTGGTGATGATGAAAAAATCACCTGACGATCACGTGACGATCGTGTGATAATAATATTTCCCCTCAGTGTGTGGCGATTACTGGATGTGGTAATTTCTGTGTGTTGGGGATGAGTACAGGTCACGTGGAGATGTTTAACATTCAGTCGGGTATCCACCGAGGAGAGTTCGGAAAACCTCAAGGTCACCACTTTTCCATTTTCTCTCTTGTTCACCTCTCTTCCTAACTGTGCTAAATGGTACTAGGTGCTCAAACCCAGATTTTGGGGTTTTCAAAAAAATTTTGTGGAGACAAAAAAAACGTGACATGCCACTGGTTTAAGAATTCAGAATGCTTGAGAATGTGGATGTGGCTTTCTGCCTTAAGGGAGTTCTGAAAGGGGGAAAATTATACTTTTTAAGAGAGAGCCTCTTCGAAATGACAACAGTATTACGTATAAAGTTTCCCAAATGAATGGTATGAGATTTACACGCCTCCCTCCTCCTCTGTCGTATGGACAGCTCACAAGTTGCCAGTGAGGGGTGTGGCTGTCAACAGCATCAATACTGAGGTCTACACTGGAGCTGGTGATAGGAATGTTTCGGTTAGCAACTGAGCTATTTCCTTTCCGCCTCTTGTCTGTTGCATCTTTCTCTTCCCCCCTCTCATCTCTCCCTATCCTCTCTTGCTCCCCTCTCTCTCTTGCCCCCCTTCTCTCCTCTCTCCCCTCTCCCCTCTCTTGCTCCCCTCTCTTGCTTCTCCCTCACTCTTTACTCTAGTTTCCATCTGTCTCTGTCTCAAACCAGCAACACTGTGACACTGCCTTCCTCTGTTCTTCCCGTAGTTCTGGTCATTTCAGAGGAAGACACGACTGACATCTGTGGATCTGCTGTCTCCAGTATCAAGTCTTGTGTACCACAGAGATAGGTACATACTATCCTACTGCACCCGCATCATTGCTTACTCAATACATTAGTTCATGTTCAGTACAATTACATGTGTCTTCCATCTTTCTGCACCATTGCCGACCACTACAAATGGAAAATAGTACAGATTTTTCACATAATTTCGCTCTGATACAATACGTAGCAGCACCTTTGAACCACTCATGCATGACACCATAATTCCTGAATATGACACCCCCCGATCATGAATTTAACACAACACCTGTATGCGACAATATAATGTTGCAGTTCCCAAGTGTGGGGACCTCAGACCTCTCTTCCCCCCCCTCTCCTGAAAAATGCAGTTCTCTGATGGCAGTTGCGTGCGATGACTTCTCAGTCTACGTGGTAGACACAGACACAAGAAGGACAGTGAGAGTCTTCACCGGCCACTCCAATAGAATCACTGACATGGTTTGAATGTAGCTCTCTTCATTGGTGTATATACCCCGTCTGTAAGGACATCTCTCTAAAATAGGCCAGCTTTTTTATTTCCCCATCAACAGTCCAATGTACAACTCCTGAAATAAGGACATCTCTCTATTATGTCGCACTTTCTTCTGTCCCATTAGTGTCCAGATTAAAGGGGTTCCACAGTGTATCTTTCACTTTCAAATTGAGATGGAGTTGTTAATGTTGTGTGTCTGCCACCACCACTGCAGGTGTTCAGTCCTGATTCCAGGTGGCTGCTGACTGGCTCCATGGACTGCAGTATCAGAACATGGGATCTCGCCACGGGGAGGTAACACCCCACCCTTGTAATCAAAACATCTTAATTGATCATTGATCTACATTTCCAGGTTGCTCGATTACTTCCTGGTCGATGCTCCGCCCACCAGCCTGTCGCTATCGGCAACCAGTGATTTCCTAGCAACGACACACGTGGATGACCTGGGGATCTACCTGTGGTCTAACAAATCTCTGTACTCGTCGGTTCCCCTCAGACCCCTCCCGGGGGATTTTAGACCCCTCACCATCGAGCTGCCAAACACCAGGGGTGACAGGGAAGAGGGAGAGGAGGAGGAGGAGGGGAGATGAGTGTGAAGGTATGTAGGTCTTTTTCCTTTTTGGGGTTTTATGCAGAACCTGCCCATGCATGTGTGGTGCTACAACCATCATTGTGCATTACTTTGCTTTAGACGTCTCGTTCTCAACTCTGTGTATGACTATTCTCTCATCGTACATGCACTATATATTCATGCTAATAGATTACGTAATGAGCTGGTCAGACATTATTGAGCTGTGTCCATCCATTTCTTGCCACAGATATGGAAGAGGAGGAGGAGGGAGAGGAGGGCGAGAGGTTGGTTACTCCTCTAGGAGAAGATCTGGTGACACTCTCCACACTACCCAAATCTCGATGGAGCAACTTGCAAAATTTGGACATCATAAAGGTCTGTGCATGCAAGTTGCCACCAACAACAGCCGAGGCAAACTACGCACCACACAACTCTCAGTTTTCCAAACTTTGTGCAACTGAATGTATATCTTAGCTCTAGCTGCTATTTGGGAAAGAAAAACCACGATTGCATATAATACAGTCCACTGTGTCAGTTTTCAAAATTCAACTTATCCCCTGCCACAAGGAGTTGGATAATCAATGACGAGCTGTAAACACAACTGTTCAGTCAAAGGTTATATTGTCTTCTTTCAGAAAAGGAACAGGCCTCTTGAGCCACCAAAGCAGCCCAAGGCCACCCCCTTCTTCCTGCCCACACTCGCCGGCCTTGTCCCCGAGTTCGTTACCAGGGGTGACGAGGGGGACATCCCCAACGTGGAGGCAGCTGCGTCAAAGATACTGGACCTCGGAAAGTTGGAGCCTCTCTCACCGTTTCAGAGGACCTTGGAAGACACCTGCGTCACTCGTGATTGTGAGAGCAAAACCTCAAGAAAGTCATCCATCTTGCCCTTTTCTCACTGTTCTGCTGTTTGCATCGCGGAGTATTAATCTGATTCGGAGTTTTTGTTGCGTACTCGCAGATGCAGCTGTGATTGACCAAATAAGAGGGATGTCCCCGTCAACCATTGATAAGGAGTTCCGGAGCCTCTCCCCGGAGGCGGGAGGCCACACCCACACCCACTCCGAGCGGCAGCTGCTATGCCTTCTCAGGGCCCTGCTCCACCAGTTGAGGTCACGACGAGAGTTTGAGCTGACCCAGGCCTACCTCGGACTGGCTCTAAAGGTTCATCTCAATAAAAGTGCAGCAGCCAGCAAGTACAAGTTTTTTATCTGCAAGCTCAGGTGCTCTGCCTTGACTGCAGAATGTATGGGTAGAGCAGTTTGTCTTGTGTTGGTGCTTGCACACCATTTTAAAAACTAGCTTTACCGTACCACACCTTACTCACTTTCCCTCCCTCCCTCCCTCCCTCCTCGTTAGCTACACTCCAGGGCCATTTCTCAGAGCCAGCAGTTGACAGCCGTTGCCAAGGAACTACTGGAGACACAGGCATCGTCATGGCAACAGCTCCAGGAGGATTTGAACATGGCCGGCTGTTTGCTGGCCTACTTCAAGAGTGCAACTGTGTACTAATAAACTACGTATTAACTGTATGTGTATAATTGTAATAATCGTATATAACCAGTGGAAAAAAAGATGGAATGATTCTGCTGTTGTTTTTTTGGAGATTTCTGCTGTGCTGTTGATTGGTGTCTTTTGTCATGTGATCTGTTCATATGCTCTCCACAATGCCTTGTTCAATCAGTGTGCCTTGTCTTTTCCACCAGCGGGCGAGCTACAGGACACAGTGAATATCTTGAATAGGAGCCAGGCTATTGGAGCTACAATGCCAAGTTATGTAGTACAACTAATACAGTTCTTTGTCTTTTTGCCACACAAAACTATGGGCCAGCACTACTGTGTCTGTGTTGGTATAGGATCTATGGTCTGGCTCGCCTGCCTGTAGCTATCGTAGGTCTTGCTGTTTCTGTGGGTATACTTACATAAGTTATTGCCTGCCTATTAGAATAATTATAATGGGGTGTACTTGTACTTGCTGACCTAAGCCATGTATTACTGTATATATTACAGTGTATACATGACTATATATGTCAAAACTTGCCTGCCAGTTAGAAGTCCGTAGATGATGGAAGCGGTGGTCACAAGTGTCACCACGAGTGCTGCGGCACTGGACCACCTCCAAGAAGGAAACCCGTGGTGTCTGGTGTAGTAGATGGCTTCCGTGTAGCCAGAGCTGTTTCCACCCACGGCCACGTCTAGTTTGTACTCTACCTGTGTGATTGGAGGGATGCAGCATTCTAGTGCTATATACTCTATGCTGTAGTGGCAAACTCTAAGAGATCCGTGATTAGCAACTGCTATATATAAGGACATCCCTGAAACGGAGAAAAATATATTACGGATGTCTTAAAATTCGGGATCCGTTGCAGTGGCCCCTGGACTGTAAGCAGATTGGACAAAGGCCAAAATCAGGTTACAGCTCAAAGGCAAAGTGTAAACCCTCTTGGAGGCAGCAACCTCTCACAAACTACCACCTTATACCTCGATCTGTTAGTCTCTCAGATTGTCTCTTCACTTCAAAAACTTAAACGCATTCTGTCTCTCTCTCTATACAGGTGTACATATGACAATAGGCCCCATATTATTACTAAACTTACTCCACACGATCCCTGTAATATATTGAGGTCCTCCTGGCTTTCGTAGCCTTCACACGATACACGGATATTTGTCATCTTGAAATGTGGACTCATCACCTGCAGCTGTTTGCATTGCCAGCCAGTAGTCTGCAGTAGAGAATGAAATGCCACTTTTCGTTGGACTCAGTTTGGAGTTAGGAAGACTCACAGATTTGGAACTGGCAGTTGGATGTGTGGTTGCTAGGTTGACGCACTCGACTGCCTTGGGCTGGATGGGCCACCCACAACCAGCACTTCCTCCGTCACATTTCATCTGCAGTTGCACAAATCAGCAAGCTGAGTGCTCACAATACTATTCAGCCGAGTGCAAGAGCTAGGCAACTTTGTGTTTTTTCCCCTGATAACAAAACCATCCATGAAAGTTCGGTATAAGCCTCGGTATGATAGCTATAGAGTTTGGCAAATGAGGTCCATTTACACAGAGCTCACGGTGATTATGGTTACATTCATACGCACGTATATAGTACTACACCTGCGGAGCCCGTGCAGCCTTCCTGCCAGTAGTCAGCTTCTCCAGCTCAGCATGAAAAGACGGTAAATCATCCAACGATACTTTCCGTCCTCCTTCCACCGCTAAACAACCGCGCCGGCGGCGACATGGACAGACAAGAGCAAGGCAGCTCACGGGCATTGTCAGTATAGGAGAGATCTGGACTCACAAGCTATTCCGAGCAGTAGCAGCAGAGATAGATATCTAGAAAAGAGCCTCAGCGACAAAGATAGCACCATGACTTGTGGGTTCGCTCCGTGATGAAATGCCGCAACACTTAGCGCGAGAGCACGGTAATTAGTAATTAATTAGCTAAAACTGCGCATGCGCACAAATCAAATTCCAGAATGCGATGGGTTAAAACTTTTTTAACTGCAGGACACAAAAATAAACTGGGAATGAGAAGAAATAAATGAACATCTGCTGCTAACACAATAAGAACACGTCATTCAAACGAGAGAACGGTTAGTTCCACGTCGCCGTGACGACTCTGCTGCTTGAGGGTATCGGCAGCAAATTTGTGGGTGACCCCCTCGAAACTGATCCCGTTAACGGCAAGCAGCTGGTCACCGTGGAACAGGACACGGCCAGCCACACCCTCTTCCAGAACACGATTTACGTAGATGGGCTTGTCTCCATGACTACTGCCAGCTCCGCCCACTATTGTGAATCCCAGTCCAGATGGTCCCTTGCGGAGTTTTATATACTTCATCCTGCAATGTTATATACAATGAGGAGTTTGGCTGTACACAGTGTAACACTTCACTGGTAGGGAAACCTTTTGTAACAGCTGCCCGTGTTATTTAACCCCATACACACACGGACAACACTCTCAATCTGTCCAGATTGTCACATTGGTGTCTTGGCGAGGCACCATTATACATGTACTGCAATTAGGAAACTTTTTGAGGGACAAAACTCTGAAATTTAATGGTCCAGAGCAGGGCCGTAGCTAGAAAAGGGGGGGGCAGAGCTATGTAACTTCAAAATGGGTATGAAACCTGCTGTATGCATGGCAGATGTGCCAATGTCAAACCCCCCAGCCTTCCACTTACTTGCCCTCTCCACTGCGATGTAGACCAGTAGGCTGGGGACGAGGATGGGAGCTCTGCTGCTGGTTTGCCCCCCACATGCCCCCCGCCGCATGGGCCCCCCTGGTCTGGGGGTCCGGCAAATACGAGGAGAACGGTGGGTGGTAAGGCGGGGGGTCCCTATTAGGAACATGTGATGGTGGGGGTTCCCCGACAAACGGGTATTTCATGCCAGGTGGGGGAGGAGGTTGTTGAACAGGGAAATGATGATTCGAGTCGGTCTCGGGGAAATCGATGGTGGACAGAGCGGGAGACAGAGTGTCGCGATGCTGCACCACCAGCACGACTTTCCCCACACACGTCTGCAGCAGTTTGAACACAGTGTCTTGACTCGCCACCACGGTACTGGTGTGGTTTATGGCCAGGATCTTGTCCCCGGCCTTTATCCTGCCGTCCAGATACGCCGCCTGGCTCTCCACCACATCCTGCACGTAGACGCCCGACTGATTGGGGGATTCCATGATGAGCAGGCCCATCCCGCCGCGAACCGGTTTGACCAGTTCCACCGTCTCCACATTCGGCGTCGGTGACACTGTAGCTTCTGTAAAACGAGGAACAAGACGAGTTCAGCGCAGTAAAGCATAGTCAAGCGCTGGTAGCTGCACATGCACACACACACGCACACGCACACAGACCTTTGGGCTGAGGTTCCTGACTGTGTATGCGGAGTACAGTGAGATGGATGAAGGGAGACGGGTGTTGGAGGGCTGCAAGCACGTCTTCACACGTTGCTTCTCGCACTGACTGGCCATTTATCTGGGGAACAAGTAAATCTATGTATGTATACATGCATTACAAAGCTACACACACTGTATGTAAGTCAGTGAAGTCTATATACAGTCTATGATGGTGCACTTCACACAGCCATGTGCAAGTTTCATGAAACAAATTACTTGTGTAAGTTACGAATGTTTGTGATTTTGCCGAAAATGAATTCGAAAAATATGCACATCTACACTTATGAGAGCGTCAACAAAACCCAATAGAAGCTGTGTAAACAGATGAAACACTCAAAATGAGCTAAAACGACACGCGCTGCTGAAACTGACAGCAGTAGCAGTACGCATGCGTACACAATAAGATAGAAACATTGTGTATTATATACACTCAGAGACCTCGAGAAGTCTGTCTCCGGGCCGGAGCCGTCCGTCTGTGGCAGCGGGGGAATCTGGGATGACCCTCTCAATGATGATGTTGTGGAGATAGGTGTCCACCCCTCCAATGACGGTCAGCCCCAGAACCTGAGATCCTTTGAAGATGGTGATGGTTTTCTCCCGACCAGGTACAATAACTGCACAGAAACACTTGTGGTTACTAACAGCCACCTATCCAGAGCCTTCAACTTTACACAGAGCTAATTGTGACTGGCGGAAAAAGTAATAAAATTTGTGATCTGCATACTAAAGTTTAGTTGGAGGCAATGCTAATCGGTATCAAGGTAGTGATATGTGATATGGAAAGGTACAGTATATGAACCTCCATAAGACCAATACAAAAACTGCCGTGAAGAAGTACATATAATCTCGCTAGTGTATGTATATATAATATGACAGTGACTCTAAGGTATATATTGACCCCACCATTGTGCTGCTGTGTCTCTTGAAACCCAAGTCCAACCTCTTTCTCAGTGAGTGTGTGTGAGTGTCGATTTCCCCCTCCCCCTCCGATCTGGGTCCCCACTTCTCCCCCATCTCCCCATACTCCCGCTGGATCCCCACTCTCCCCCACGGCACCGGTGGTGACCGGACGACGCTCCCCTCGTTCCTCCGCCTCAGCCCCACCCCCTGTACGGAGGTCTCGGGTGCGCGAAGTGCTCGTTGCCCGGACGATGCTAGCCTCGGAATCAACACTCACTGGGCGTCTTCTGGAGGACTTCAGAGAGTCTTTTGGGAGGGTAAAAATCTTACATCAGTGAGAAAATTTTCACAATTTCATAAATTTTTGTGTCTGCTTGTCTACAAATTTCTGCCAGGACAATAAATTTTGTGACCCAAGAAGCACACTACATCCTATTAAACAGCTAATGCTCACTGGAAAGAAAAGAGAGAATAAAGTATTGATAGTGAAAGGGGAATCAATAAGGTAGTGGAGTTAAACACTTCTTTTCCACTTACTCTCTTTGCTCCTCTTTTTCTGCCGCAGTACCACGCTCTCCGGGATGTTGCTCTTCAAATCTACCCCGGTGCCCTCGCCCCCCGTGCCCCCCGACCCCCCACGCGAGGTCACAATCAGCTGAACCCAGCCGCGAGCTCTCGCCTGCTGGAGGAGATGACGAGCCTTTTCCGCAGAGTACCCGAGGATCTTCTGTCCGTCGATGGAAATGAGCTGGTCTCCGGGTTGCAGAGTACCCTCCTTTAGAGGTTAGGAGAGAGAGTAAGTAGAAAATAGATTCTGGTTTGCAAGATGATGACTCACTGAAGCTATGTTTATCTAGTCTTTCTAGCATATGCATCATCAAGGCATCTACAAAAATAATGCCAGTTTTGCAGTTATTATGGGTATATATGGGTGTGGTTGACTTGTTTGCCTTGCCTTGCCTTTCTACCTCGTTACCAAGTTGTTGAGACATGCAAATGAAAGTTTCCACAACCAAAGAATAGTCATAAATCTCTGTCTTGAAAGTGGGGTTTGGACATGAGACAAGGAGACAGGTACAGTACGTACGCCTCACCTTCTCTGCCGGGCCGCCAGGTGTGATTAAAGCCACGTTGACCACACCCCCTTGCCCCTGCCTCAGTGACCGTGAATCCCAGCCCCTTCTCGTTGTCTCGATGCAGCTGGACCACCCGAACCTGGGGAAGACCGTTGATGAGGTCACGATCAACACCTCCCCCACCACCTGGTTGCTGGATCTGCAAATCGAAACTGAAATTTAACGTTTGTCGCTGAAATGCGAAAGCTTCTTCTCCCTCAAAAGTTGTCATCTATAATTATGCTATTGACTACAGATTACTAGGTACGTATGTAAAAGCTCCATTGGGTGTGTAAAGGGGTGGCTTAAATCTTTCGTCTCTTTGAAGAGGCCGCCTAAATTATTCGTACTTTCAGTGAGAATATTGGGGGAAGGACAGGCCAACAAACCGTCCTGAATACCTTGACTATAGCCGAAGGGTGCAGTGCACCAGTGCAATCACTGTAAAATGTGAATGTGTAGAAAGAACGGCGTCGCCTAATCTTTGTATTTTGGAGTACTTTGCTCCAAAATGCATGCATGTTGAGTGACAATATAGCGATTAAAACTCCCCAAACATTCAGTACACTAAGACTAGAGGTACGTACAGATATTAAAGAACCTTGAAAGTTGACTTACGTTTCTCTCCAGGACTCTGGCCTCGGCCTGTCGGAGCATCACAAACCTCACCCGAGGAGGTGCCTTCACCAGCATCTCCTGCACCTCCTTTTGAGTCATACCAATCACACACGTCTCGTTGATATTCAGAATCATGTCGCCCCACATGACCATCTTGGAGCGATCCGCCACGCCCCCCGCCTGGATTCCCATTATCACGATCCCGCGCGGACCCGGGGCGTGGTCGTCTCGGTTCGCGACGATGCTCATTCCGAGCCCCCTGCTCCCTTTATTCAGCCACACTTCAAACAACGTCCCCTCGACGTTCGGAAACTCTTTTCGGAGCTCGGGATTGTCTTCTACTTCTCGATCGACTGAGTTTCTCAGTTGCTGTTGTTGTTGTTGTTGTTGTTGGTTCTGCCCACCACCTCCTCCCCCCACGTCGGTGAAGTAATGTGACATGGTTTGTAGTCTGCGGGAGTAGTCATGGTTACGGGGACCCGAGGGGAAGCTCCTGGGTGACGGTTCCTCAACGAGGGTCGGTTCTCGAGCTGCTCTCGCTGCCGCTACAGCCGCAGCTTGTGCCTGCTGTTGTTGCCGTCGGCGATAGACAGTGTAGGGGTGTGGTGGATGGCGTGGAGAACCTTGGGAATTATGTCTCCGATCCGATTCCGGTTTTTGCGTGCCACTTGTTCCCAGTTTCGTCTCACTCTGAGTCTTCGTCATTCGAAAAGGGACAGTTGAAGATGGAGAAGAGGTCGTTGTTTGTGGCTGAGTGAGAGTAGCCAAGGTTGATTTGGGCGACGCCAGCTGGGCGGTGACGGGCGGAGGCTGGGAGGGAAGAGACGGCAGAGGACCCGCCTGGGTGGGCGGGGGTAGCGTTGTCATGGAAACATGGCCTGTGTGGGAGAGAGGGTAGTGGGCGGGGCCGGCAGCCGACATCATGTGGTGTTGCTGGACGACGTGATCGACGTACTGTGGTGGTTCGCGCAGTATCCAGGTGACCTGTTGTGGTGCCGGCTGCCCCAGGGGTAGCGAAGGCGGTACCTGCCACACCACTGGTTGCAATGGAGGTTGCCCAAATGGCTGTCTCGTTGGTGGATAATTATAGGGGGGAGGTTGCATGGGGGAAATGGCGGGCCCCGATCCAAGCTGGTAGGAGGTCCACTGCGGCATTGCTGGCGGAGCCATCTGGGGGGGCATGATGCTCGGGTGGTGCGAGGGGGCCATTTGCGACTGCTGACCAAATGAATCCTGATCGGGGGGCGCCCCCTGTAATGAGGGACCCCCTGCCAAATTCTGCTGTAGAGGGGGCGGCCCTCCCGGAGCGAAATGTGTGGCTTGCTGCTGTGGGGGGGTCGATTTTGTGCCGTACGAATTTGAGGAGAATCCGTGGGGGGCAGGGAGGTATGAAATTGTGACCCCCTCACTCTTGGAGGCGGCTTTCTTGAGCATCTTAGAGGCCTTGGCAAGACTGACGTTTTCAAGCCACTCTCTGTTGATGGCCAAGATCTGGTCCCCGACTCGAATCCTGCCGTCCTTTCTGATGGCTCCCTTGACCGATTTGACAAGGACGCTGTTCGACTTGGTGTCCTGGGTCAGTGATAGACCTGGCAAAAGAGAGAAGACGGATAGAGGGAGAGGGAGGAGGGGAGGAGGGGAAACAAATGACATTACTCTAGTGAGTATGAGCTGTTGACCGTTAGCACTTTGCTATCCAAAACTCTAAGGCTAGGCTCACAACGCGTCGCATTGCCCCATCGCGCGGTGCCGCATTGCCACATCGAGAGGACAGAATCCATTTCTATCTTCGCGGCAGGACACGACGTGGCACGGGGTGACTGGACGTTTTATTATTGTGAACCTACGTAGCCTGTGCTCACAGCACTCCACACTTCCTCTCCCGTTCTCCCGTTCCCTTCTCTCCCCTTCATCCTCACCTAAGCTAGAGCTGGTCTTGGGGATGTGTATCTCTCTCGGGTCATTGTCCAGTTCACTGCTGTGGTCATAGTCACTCATATCGGGAGACAGGCCGTCCTGAATACTGTCCTGAGAACTGGTATTGGTGACCTGGGACTGATACGATAGACGGCCCATTAACAGATTGCACGGCCCGATTAAAAAACTAACAGAAGGTGAAGGTATTGATTTTTGCTTACAAAACCTATTACAAACAGCTTGCTGAAAACCCCTAAAACTGATGATAGCAAAATTTACCCATAATTATGCCAAATGAGCTCTAATGTATCGCAGTACTGCATTCCTCCTCACGTGTGTGTAGGCCACAGCCAGAGTAGCAGGAGACGTCTTAGTGTCGGTTCCATTCTTCCCCTTCTTCCGGCCGTGCTTCGGAGACTTCTTCCCCCGCGGCGATCGGCGAGCCTTCTTGTTGGTGACTGGCTGGAGACGTGAAGAGTGCGCCCCTACCTCGTCTGGCACAGGTCCCATTCCCGTGTCAGACTGGGATTGGGACCCGACCAGAGTGGTATCGGAACTGGACTCCAACTGAGACATGTCGTGGGGTCCGCTTTCAGAACCTCTTCGCGGCTTCTGCAGTGGCAAAGTTTCGATTGAGAGTTGGTCGCCTTGTATCTCCCCGTCGCCCTCTCCCTTGGTCTCCTGCTCGGGTGGGGGGGAGTCCCCCGCCCGAGACCCCTCCCGGGTGTGGTAGTACGTGGACCGGATCTCGAGGGACCCGCCGAAGCGGTCCCGCAGAGGGAGGGCCCCCCGCCCGGCGATCTCGGTGAGTGATTCTCGGGATCTCTCGTTCTCCAGACTCTCCCGCGACTGTCTCCACCTCTCCTGGTCTTCAGGGGTCACGCGTGTCATCTCTGCCAGCGACATACCGCGGGACGGAGAGGAGATCCGAGACAGCTCCAGTGGAGATAGGCTTCCTCTGCGATCTGCCCCCTCTCTCTCTCCTCCACCAGCGTCCTCTGGTTTGGCGACTGACGGATACAGGGGTTCGTCTGCTGGGATAATTTCACTGGTTCCCTTGGGTTTCTTTTCCTGGGGGGCTGTGAGAATAGACGAGGTGTAAATTACATTCTCTGTATACAGTACCACGATTATAATTTGTTTACCATCGCCTGTACCTGCAAGTTTATTTTCCTTCTCCTTCTCTCTCATTGCCCCTTTCTCCCTCCTCTCTCTCTCCTCCCTCCTCATCAGAGTCCACCTCACTCCCCTCCTCCGCCACCTCACTCTCCTCTTCCTCCTCTGCTCCCGACAGACTCGACGACTTTCGCTTACTGCCTCCGTACGAACCCTGAACACAATGATTGCATCATCATTACATCATACTGAATTAACACGTGACCTAATGTATACAGACGGCACAATTTCAATTCTGGACTTGGTGGTTGCGTTGAAAGAATGAAACGTATTATAGCAAGTCGACACAAGGCGGAAAATTTGGCAGTTTAAAGCGTAGAGCATTTTGCATTATGAAATCCATAATGCCGTCCAAATAATTGAGCATTTGAGATGAATGGGTTGGGTTCATTTCACTCACTAGCTATCGGCAGGACATGCTGTATGTTGTACGTACCTGTGAAGGGAAGAATTGGTTGGAAGTGACATTCTCGCGGTGAAGAGGATTAGAAGAAGAGGGTGAGGTGGGGAGGGGGGGAGGGGGGGAGGAGGGGGAGGGTGGGAGTGGGGAAAGACTGGAGGAGTCACTGAAGTCCGACTCGGCCAGCACGGGATGGTGGATACCCAGCTCCACCGTACTGCCATGCGGAATCTTCACCAGCTGCTCAACCGCAAACTACAGGAGGGAGAGAAAGACACTCTCCATAAACTGACACTTACTAAAAACATCAGTGAAACACACAAACAACTCCAAATGCAGTAAGTCAGTATTATACGTGTAGTGCACTTTAACAAAGTTTTTTTCCGAAAAATACTAGCAATTTCATGAACTTTGCAAAAATTCGGTCGCGGCAGTTTTTGGTTTGAAGTCACATGACACTGCATCTACCTGGAGAGATGTGCTGGCTACAGCGACGTCATTCACAGAGATAAGTCTGTCTCCGACACGGAGCCTGCCGTCTTGCTCTGCCACGCCCCCCTCAACCAGACTCTGTACCAGAATTATCCTCTCCCCCTCGTTGTGGGGGTCCTGGGGGAACCAAGATAAAACAGGTGCCCCCCGAGATCGCGAAATTTCCAACTCACAGCGAAATCCAATATGCTGAACCCGAGACCCTCGTCTCCTTTGTGTAGCTGGATTGTGGCGATGTCCTGTTCCCAAAACCCGGTACCAGGTACTGGGGACAGGACACTCAGACTGGAATCGGAACCTGGACTTCTCACCTGCATGCAATACATTACATTCCCATTCTGTGAGACCGGTGTGTGGTCTCCGTGCAGTACCAACCTCTCTCTCCGTGAAATCGTGATACGTAAAGGTCACGGGGTCGTGGTAGGCGGAGTAATCGAATTTCGTCGGCGAGGACGACGGATGGAGTAGGGTGGACCTCCGCCTCTCTCTGGTCCCGCCCTCCTTACCCCGCCCCTCCTGCTCCGCCTCGGCGGCCATCAGCATCTTCTGCTCTCTCTCCCTCTGTCCCAGCTCGTCTTCCAGTTCTCGTATATGTCTCTCGTATTCCTCTCTCCTTTGCTAGATAGATAGAGACACAAACAGATCACGGAATGTAAAAATGTCACGTTGGAGGAAGACATTTGGCATTAGGAAACATGTTGAACAAATGGAGTACACATGGTAACGGTGTTGCTCACCTCAAATCTGTGCTTAAGTCTCCGTCTCTCCTCCGCATGTCTCTCCCTCCACGACTGTCTCTCAAATCGCCGAGAGATGTCCTTTCCCCCAAACCCGCCTCCTCCCCCTCCCCCTCCTCCACTGTTACTGGGAGACACGCCCCCCTCGTCGGCAGGCGGGGCCAGGATATCCTCTCGGGTGGAGCCCTCGTCATTGTTTTGCTTCTCGCCGTCTGATTCGGCAGCTGAACCAGAGAAAAGTTACCATGTGCTACTGTTAAAAGGCCATTGGTGTATGTATAGCTCATACGTAAAACTGAAGTCACTCCTCACCTTCCTCTGTGCTTGCCGGCAAGATCCTCCTGGCAACTATTATCATGACGTTGACAGGCGTTTCCTTGACAACCTCGATGGCCTGGTCGTGTTCCAGACCAAGGACCTCCGTACTGTTCACCTGCGGAACGGAACGGAGACTTCACGGCCAAGGCACACCCACAAACATTACGCAATACCTGCAGAATTTCGTCTCCTCCCATCAGGTCTCCTTGTTCCTTCACTGGCCCTGCTTTCACTAGAGTGATAATGTGTCGCGTGCTCCCCTCCTGTGTTAGAACGATCATCGAGCATTTTTGGTGAGCGAGTGCAGTGTTTCGTGAATATTTCAATGACCTTCAACTTTTTGCGTGAATTGTATTCATAGAACATTAAGGTACATATTATGTGCATTGCCTGATACATGGATATACAGACAACTAGGTGTACATATTATGTGCAGTGCCTGATACATGGATATACAGACAACTAGGTGTACATATTATGTGCAGTGCCTGATACATGGATATACAGACAACTAGGTGTACATATTATGTGCAGTGCCTGATACATGGATATACAGACAACTAGGTGTACATATTATGTGCATTGCCTGATACATGGATATACAGACAACTAGGTGTACATATTATGTGCATTGCCTGATACATGGATATACAGACAACTAGGTGTACATATTATGTGCATTGCCTGATACATGGATATACAGACAACTAGGTGTACATATTATGTGCAGTGCCTGATACATGGATATACAGACAACTAGGTGTACATATTATGTGCATTGCCTGATACATGGATATACAGACAACTAGGTGTACATATTATGTGCATTGCCTGATACATGGATATACAGACAACTAGGTGTACATATTATGTGCATTGCCTGATACATGGATATACAGACAACTAGGTGTACATATTATGTGCATTGCCTGATACATGGATATACAGACAACTAGGTGTACATATTATGTGCATTGCCTGATACATGGATATACAGACAACTAGGTGTACACGTAGCTTGCCAATAATTAGCCTCAAAGAGACAGGTACACTCTCTGTTGATGAAAGGAACCTACAATGGGGACTCAGAACCTAACCAAAGACGGGGGAAAGGGAAGGGATAGGACTGCACATCACTCTGAATGGAATTATACACTGCGTCCAGACAACCATTTTGCTTGCACCAACTTGCGAGTTGTGAACTAAAGCAGCATAGAGCAGTCACGTATGTAGTTCTATAACTCAGTATCTATATATATAACTCAGTATGTAGTATATAATATATGTATACCTGTGGTTTTCCCGTCTCGTCGAGGTGAGCTGTGCTCTCCATACATATACCCAGGCCCCCCTGGTTCCCTGCCTTTACCACTCTAGCAATCTGACCAGACAGAAAGAGAGACAGACACAAAATGTGCCGCAACCACAAGAAATCTTTTTTTGGCTACACACCAATCACCAATCATAACAATTTCAGGGACAAATTCTATACATACCCAACCTATTATGAGGCTACCAAGGCACAGGGAATACTTTCAGATAGCGGAGTCGAACTCTCATTTCTATGATTTCTTACTGCCGACCTTGATGTCATAGTTGGGACCCATCACGTTTTTCCATTTCCTGATCAGTTCCACGTCCTCTTCGTTGGTCGCCGCTAACGAGTCCTCCCTCTCAGGGGCCTCCCCAATCCCGTTACCAAGGTCTCCGTCACCTGTCTCCAGGATACCGTTGTCATGGAGATGGGCCTGTTCACTGTTGACGTCATCTGAATCAAGTGCGAAAATATCGGTTAGACCAAGACGTTTGTTGTCCACATGAATTAAGCCGTATGTACATACAATCTGACACTCCAAAGAAACCATACTTTAGTGTGTATGTACCTGTCTTCCCTGCCTCCTCCTCTTCCATCTCCCTCTCGTCCACTCTCTCCTGTGTCTTGGGTCGACCGAAAACCAGTCTAATAGTCTTCCCGCTGTTCCTCAGGACGGCAGCTGCTTCCATGTTCTCCAGACCTCTCAGACTGTGCCCGTCCACTCGCAGGATGCGATCGTTGACCTTTGCCCTCCCGTCCTTCCCAACCGCTCCTTGTGCATTGATAGACGTTATGTAGAGCCCCTTCAGTTCGTCTGCATATTATTATAGAGGAGATATAGAATAGTGCGTACTTGTGAAGGGGAGCAAATACAAAAAATGTTGGACTGTTTTTTTATATTTTTTTGGTGCTCGTGCTGAGGCCATATTTAGTAGCCGTAAAAGTGCAAAATGCGCTAAATTTTTGTGTGTATCTGACCTCCGGTATCCTCGGAGACGAGACCAGCTATGGTGATTCCGAGACCACGCCCCTCTTTGTACAGCTCGACCTCAAATTCATCTAGTTCGTCTCCTGACGACTGAGGGAGAGACAGACACACATACAGAGAGAGAGACGTTACGTAGAGATAGTAGTACCAATGTCGCTGCCATTAACTGCACTTTACCCGTCAGTACGTTTGGTGAGAAAAGATACGGGAAAGTCACATAACTTTGTATGTAGCTCGCCAAAATTACGGAGATTTACTATTCCAGCTGCTTCTTTCACTTACATCCATGACTTCAGGAACGACGTCCTGCACGGCTCCCTCCCTCTCGCCGTGGGCGACGACCAATCGGATCGCCTCGCGGGCGTCGTCAAGGGAACGGAGTCTGGCGGCGACTTCCTCGCTCCTCATGTGAATGACGCTCTCCTCGTTGACCTGCAGAAGTCTGTCTCCTCGCGACAGACGGCCGTCCTGTAACACAGGTAGGTATGTACAGCATTACATCACCAGCTCTCTTATCTTCTGGACACACACACACACACCAGTAACATAATCCTTGGGTGTGCCGAGGGTTAACGATTTCAACACTCATTATCCAATACTCTGAAATCATACACTTTAACCTGGTGACATAAGGTTAATAATAAAACGACCTAACGACTGTAAAACTAATTCGGTAGATCATAGAGGTTTCTGTTTATAAACAGTCTGTGAGGTGTGTGTGTATTATATGTAGTGGTATATAATTATATATAATGGTTTGGAGACGAGGGGGCGTTTTAATAAGTGGCGTACATACCTTCTTGGCAGCTCCTCTGTCTAGTAAGGCAGTCACAACGGCTCCACCCTGGGGGTGGGGGGCCAAGGAAATTCCGACCCCCTCTTCAGAGGGGGGCAGGTGGAGTGTCCTGATTTTCTGTCTTATAGGCTGGAGTAGGGGGCATAATGAGGAAGAGGGGGGATACAGTACGTCACCATAGGATTATTGGAAAATGGATCATCTACAGTAGTTAGGAGTATGGTAGAACCAAATTCATTGTTTTTTGCACATAAAAACTTACACAAATTGGGATTCCAGAAACTTATATATACTTTTCTTTGAAGGTAGGTAACACGTACTGTATATAATACCTGGCCACTGGTTGTGCCGAATGTCATGTCAGAAACTTCAGAATTGGTACCGGAATCAGACGTGGGGCTGATGGGTGGGTGTGGCACAAGGGGTGTGGTTTGAGCTGTGGCAGGATGTGGAACGAGGGAGGGTGGAGATAATGGAGGGAAGGGTTGGGGGTGGGGAGACGATACAGCTGCATTGTGAGGGTGTGAGAGTGGGGAGGGTGGGGAGCGTTCCAGTGGAGAGGTGGAAGGGGGAGGGTGTGAGGAGTGGAAGGGGGGAGACGGGGGAGGTTGTATGTGGGGGAGGGAGGGAGAGGGGGGTCTGGTTCTCGCAGACAGCTGAGTTGGACGATTCCTCTGACGGCCTGCAGGAGACGGACTGCCTCGTTATGACTGGTGTTGGCGAGGGAGACCCCGTTAATTGCCGTAATGATGTCATTGGGTTTCAGTCTACCATCCCTGAATTGAGGGAAGGAAAGGAAGGAAGAGGAACACTAGTTAATGACTGAAGGAAAGAGTGGGAATGAGATCTTAAGTCTTTAGAGCCCATCAATGTTTCCACAATTGTGGATAAGGAATCTTAAAAGGGTAGATCACTCATGTAAGCCATCACGAAAATATAACACCTTTTCCTATAATATACACAATAATACTCTTTCTTTGTCCTTAATGAAATTTGAGGGAAGGAAGGAAGAGGAACACTAGTCAATGACTGAAGGAAAGAGTGGGGATGAGATCTTAAGTCTTTATGTTTCCACAATTGTCGGATAAGGAATCTTAAAAGTGCTTAATGAAATTTGTTCCGTTCAGGTAAGAACGTTTTTTCCCTCAAGAATAAGATTCCCTCTATAATTATGCAGGAGTAAGGTGAGAGAGGTGGGAGTATGTACAGGTATGTACATGACATGACGCATTACAGGGTCATATTATTGCTCAACCTTCACATACACTGTGTACAGAGTATCCAACGTGATACAGTTGCACAGCACTGACACTAGGCTAGCTCTAGCCAAATAGCCCAATCAATCATTTCCCCCCACCACCTCTACAGCTTGTGTGCACCGTGTATGAATGACGTCAGATATGTATACCTACAAGACTAAGCAACACATACATTCCATTGCTCAATCTAACCATGTACATTATACTGCAGTAAGTATGTATGTACACACAGTTCAGCCCACTACATACAGCAACTGCTATCCAAGCAATGTATGTATGCATGACAGACGCTCTCAGAATGCAGCAATGTGAATTGTAGATAACACAGTTGTTCCGTACTGACACATTCTTTGCCTTAATTTGCCCATTCATGACATGAAGGCACTCGGAGCATGTGAGGTGTGGTAATACAGACAGAGAGAAGAGAGAAGAAGAGAGAAGAAGAGAGTTTGCTTACTGTTCAGCAGGTCCCTCAGGACTGAGGTACTGTATCACCAATCCACCCTCGCCCCCCTCGCGATTATTCACCAGAAAACCAAGCCCCTCACTGCCCTTCTCCAGATAGATGTCGAAATAAACTCCCCGCTGATTTCGGCCCCCCTGAGACAAATTTTCCACCTGGGGGCCCAGCATGTGGTGTGGGGGTATGGGGGTTCGGTGGAAATTGAGGGGGTCAAACTCGGGCGAGTTTAAGATGTCTTCGAACGATTTTGAGCGTTTGTGGGTGGAGTTTTGGAGGGGTTCGTAGGGAGGGGGCGCGGGGGGCGGGTGTCGGGGGATTTCGCTTGCAAGAGGAAGACGAACAGAGGCGGATATGGCAACGGGGGTACGCTGGGAGGAATTTGGGGTGGCATTGTAGTGCGAGTGTGGGTGGGGAGGGAGAGGATGGTGGAGGGGGAGATTAACCACGCCCCTTTCATTAGGAAATTGGTCTTTGCCCCCAACCCACTCTGGGCTCAACACGTGGAGTGGGATCGAAAACATGTCCTTGTTGTCCAGTTCCGGTCTATTGAGCCCTAGACTGTGAACGTTTGGGTGTGACTCAGCAGACACACGCCCAACTGATATCGGGTGACCTTTGGTCGGACTCTGCACCGGAGGAGACAGTCGTTCTATGAGGGTGTTGGTGCTGTTTGATAGGTTCCTGGTTCGAGGACTGAGACTGTTCGAATCGGGCGGGCGACGAGGCGAAACGGGCGATTTCACTGTCCCTCCTAATCCCTCTAGTGGCGTGTCAATGTCTCCTCCGTTTGTCATGAGGGAAGAGGGGGGCTGAGAGGAAGGGGTGTGGCTGTTACTGTTGCCGTGAGACGAGACTGGTCCTCTGTCTGCGTGGTGCAGCGGCTGAGACTCTGCCCCCGTAGCCACGGCAACTGCTGTTCTGACAGACTCGGGTCCACTGTACGACTTTGTGTGGTGGGAGTGTTTCAGAGGCGAGCTCGTTGCCGATGACAACGAGCTCGGCTCACCCGACCTTGAAGGGGCGTGGCCACTGCCGTGATGAGAACCAAAGGGAGGAGAAGAGGACGAGGAGGGATGATGAGATTTTTTCGAAGGCAGGTGCTGATTGACCGGCATAACAGCATTCCTGAGAGCTTTCAACGACTTCCTCCGAGCAAGACGACGCCTTTGTATATCACTACTGGTCAGCTCGCTAAGGAGAGCCTCTGTCGAGATTTCGGCACTGAGGACGTCACGAGACGCCTGTTGAATGTGAATGTTTTCCTCCTGGGCCGTTTCTCCCCGCAGAAACTGGTGGAAGATGGGGCTGGCCACGATCTGTCGGACATACTCTATCTCTTCGTCGTGCTCCTCGTTCCCGGCCTCGTGGAGTCGAGACTGGTACTGGTCCAGGACATGCGTCAGATGGGCTGCCGGAGGCAGAGGGGCAAGTGTAGAAAGAAAAGAAGAGGGAGGGAAGGAAAGAGTAAACTGTTACACAATGGTTGTGAATGAGGCATACTTAGCAACACGTAGCAATATTTGGTGCTCCTGTGTACAAGAGAATGTGCGGCTTTACCTGAGTCCAGCGCCATTTTGTGGTGCAGTGTTGCAGCGGTCTTTGCTCTGCTTTGGTCGGCTCGATTCCTATCTAGAGCCCACCACAACTGTCCCTACCTTCTCGTAGCGTCCATGGTTCCTCGCTGCATTGAATCGGGCTCGCAAATGGTTCGGTTTTCAGTCGAACAAGAGCGTTGTGGAGTCGCTAACTGGCTATGGATGCGAAATTGTATATAAATGACGTTATGGGAATGTTATCTTTGTTGGATGGAATGCCAGGAATGTTGTCAACTACACCTGCCAATTACGTCAGCGTATTTATAGACCACCGGGAAGACGACACGTCGAAACTTTGCGCCTCGCTTCAGCTCTTGCAGCGTCACCGTCCGGACACCTGGCCGGCTCTGAAGATACATAAATACACCTTGTCTGGAGCCTTCCATCGTTTGACAAGGGAAATTAACGCCGTTGGAGAGAATGAAAAGTGGAGTGTTTCTATTCGGGTTTGCCTTGTTGGCCCTGACTTGGACGCCGTCTCCTGTGCATGCATGTAAGTGGCCGAGTATTTCAGGCCCTAGGCTCGTCAAATACGGACACCGTTCTTCTGAAAAGACTGTTCTAGTGATGGAATTGAAGGCCTAAATAAGTATCTAATGTGTCTACTTTCCTCTGGGTGTCTCTCTTATGTTCTGCAGGGGGTAGCAGCAGCAATAAGGACAAGGTTCTTCTGAAAGAGGTGACGGCTCTGACTCTGGAACAAGGAAAGATGACAACTGGTCGAAGATCCTCTCCAGTTCAACAGGTCTCTTTCTCTCTCTCTCCCTCCCTCCTTCCTTCCCACATTGTGTTGATCCTCTCATGTGCTGTGTGTGTGTGTGTACAGCTCAAGTGTGTAGGTGGTAGTGCAGGGTGCTCGTATGGCAGTCAACCTCGTGTTGTCCAGTGCCACAACCGAGGCTTCGATGGATACGACGTTCAGGTATACACACACCACACCCCCTCCTCTCAGTCCTCATCTTACACTCCCTCTGTTGTGAATGCTTATACAGTGGGAGTGCAAGGCTGAACTGGACTCGAAATACCAGTTTGGTAAGATCCAGGTCTCCTGTGAAGGCTACGAATATCCTGACGACCCATACATTCTAAGAGGATCCTGTGGGGTGGGCACTATTTAGAATACTATGCGATTATGTATTATCATGAGGAATGTTGTTATTGGTGTTAAGTTGGAGTATGAACTGGACCTCACCCAACACGGAGAGGACGGTAACAGCCACCACGGCAACTATCACCACGACAACGGCTACCAAGGTTACCCTCACCAGCAGGGTCGCAAGTCGTGGAGTTGGGTAGGTCTGTTAGGACTGGCTGTGGCTGCGTTCATCTTCTACCAGGTCATAAAGGGATGCTTTGGTGGAGGCCACAGGTACAAATTATAAATAAAACTCGCTATGGATGATGTAATGGGATAAGAAATAAGTCACAGGTTTTAGCAAATTTCTGTGTGGGGTGTCACCCATTATACTGTGTTTTGTATCAACAAACGTTTTCTCCTGCAAAAATTTTATAGAACAGATATGTGTGTAATGATTGATATCGACTGCTCTCTATATAATGTATCTCCACAGACAAACTGCAACTCCTGGAAGCTCTTATTCAGGTATTGTGTTGTGCATACATTTGTACCGATGTTGACACTGAAACAACTGATACAGGATCTCAGACGTACTCTTCTCCGCCTCCATCAGGAGTGGGAGGAGGAGGAGGAGGAACAGGTTTGGGAGGGTTCTGGACCGGAGCTGCCACTGGTGGGGCTCTGGGGTATCTCTTTGGTAACCGCGGAGGAGGATAGTGAGTAACAGATATCTCTCTCTCTCTCTCTCTCTCTTTCTCTCTCTCTCTCTCTCTCTCTCTCTTTCTCTCTCCCGAGTAGCTGTGATTCATGTTCAATCAAAAGAGTTTTGAATTAGCTTGCCAAATAGCTTAAGTCTGTCTGCCCTTCATTTTCCAGGATAAATGGTTGTTCAATATCCAGGCCACGTGCAACAATTTGCTATTCTCTCTCTTCCCCCAGTGGCGGTTGGGGAGGAGGGTACGGAGGTTACGGGGGTAGAGGTTACTCCCGTGGTTACTCCTCTGGGTGGAGCTCTCCCCGCTCGGGCGGAACCTTTGGCGGAGCCTTTGGCGGAGGGGGAGGTAGTAGATCCTCTTCCTCTCGTACCTCCTCAGGTCAGCCACGCCCCCCACTATCGTCTGTAACAATGAGTCTGATGATCATGTGGGTGTCACGTGACTGTCATGTGATCTGAATTGTGCAGGTTTTGGAGGAACCAGCCGGAGGTAAAGTGCAAGATCAGAGCGACTGCAAAAAGACTTGGACTCTTTAAATTTCACACAATAACAGAACCATTCACTAGCATGCAGTGTTTAGCCCTTCACTAATGTACAATAAATTTGAGTTGTCATGTGCCCATTTTTAGACAGTGCTAAAGCCCATAAAAATTTTAATGGAAATTTCCTAGTGACGTGACTACTACTACTATACTATACACTTCCCGTGCACGCGCATGCGCACCAGATGAACGTTTTGGGGCCAGTTCAACTTTGGCTTCTGTTGCAGCAGCCCTTTCATGGCAACAAAGCTCGTTCTAAAACATCTTTAGTAGTCGTATTAGCTTCCTGTGCAATACTGCAACTCAGTACGTACTAATATTCCATCGTTATAGTCAACAATAATACTAGCGCATCGTACGTATATATACTTAGCCAGCCACTGGTAGCTCCGCATAGTTGGAGATGGATTCGGCGATGGCTAGCATCTACATTTTTTGCAGTATTTTTCTTGCTGCATTTTTCACTGCAAGAGGTGAGCAAATGCATCAAATGACTCGAAATAAGTAAGCTATATACTCCACCACAGCTGAGCAGGAAATAGTCTTCAAGATACAAGAGAACGGCCTACAAATAGCTCCAGACGGCCGAGTCTCCATTGGCCATGCTAGTGATGCGTTTACTGACGTTCAATGTCTGGTGACTGGAGATGATGATAGTGGCTCAGATCAGCCGGTGAAGCAGTGGTTGGTCCAGCCAGGAGACTTCCCTCTCCCCTCTCCCCTTAGTCCGAATCAGACCTCTTTCAACGAAGAAGAAGGCGTCCTCCGAGTTTACTCTCAGTTCATTAGAACTCATGCAACAGATGGAGTATTGACACTGCAGTGCTGGATTTCTAGTGAAAAGAAAGCTGATCTACATCTTGAACTATGTAAGCACACAACATCATCATAAGTAAGATAAACTATAAAAGTCTATGAGAATAATAATGTTGAGTTTAGTCTTAGATGTGTCATTAATTTCTACAGATTCATCACTTTTCTTTGGTGGAGATCTTCCATCTGAGATAGCCCCATCAGAAGACCTGGGTTTTCTCTGCGCAAACACCCTCCCAACCCTCCCAGACTCCACCCTCTCCGTGGAGAATGACACCAGTAATGGAGGAACCACATACAGCTACTGCACTGTGGACACAACCAGGGGAAGATTCAGGAGTAGAAGTGTTGTAACTGGCGGTACAGAGAGATTCAGTGAGTTCCTTATAGAAATGTAAACAAACAAAAATAGTGTGCTGTTCATGTTAAGTGCTGATGCCTATAGCCAATGATGAGATTGTTGTTAGCAACTTAGTGCTGACGTTACAACTTTCAGCCCTACATTATGGGGATTCAGTAGCAGCTAGGTATCACCACATGCTTGTGCCACCTCCACCTGTGAAACTGGGAAGCTCTCCAGTCGTACCATTCTCTGTCTTGCACCACTTCCTCTTATCACCTATATACACAATTAACTCTGTCAGTTATCCTACTATGAGCCTTCCCGTGCTCAACTTGTGATAACATAACAAGTGTATTTGTATTGAGGATTCTCACCAAACAAACTTACCTCTAGTCCTCACACATTGCAAAGAAACTGCTAATGTCACTTTCATGCTTTAATGTCTCTGGGTGTAAACTGTAAGTTTGTTTTGTGAGAAGTAAACTATGAAACCTGTTTAATCCTCAGGTGTGCTGCGATTTGAGAGACCGTTTCCTCCAGAAGTGGCGGAGTGGGTGACCACTACTGGTGACTCCATCAGACTTCCCTGTCAAATTGGAGGTGCCACAACACAAGGACGACCTCTTGTCTTTTTCCTCCGAGACGGAGAAAGGATCTCTCCCGGAGGAGATAACGGCGGGGTCTCTATTACACCGGGCAGCTTCGCTGGTTTTCAGGTCCTGAGGATAGAGAAGAGCAGGGGGAATGACGGGCTGTACCAGTGTGTGGGACAGGCTGGAGATGACAACAGTACTTCGGTCGTCACCTCTACTTACGTCAACCTTCACTGTTAGTTAATTTACTTTTATTAATCCTGCTTGTGCACGCGCAGTGAAGGCTACAGATTTGTAACCATATACATCCCTTTCGTAACAGTGTGTCGAGATTTTTTACGACTCAAGTTTGTATTCTTCCTCAGACTTGGAGGAGCCAACTATTAGTCTGTCTGGTGACAGTTCTCTGTGGAGACCAGATACTGTTGTGGTACTCGGCCAGTCTTACACCCCACGAGAACTGGTCCTCAACTGCAGCATCGAGGCTCACCCAATCCCCCGTTTCTACTGGACCAGAAGAGATGGAAACATCCAGAGAGAGGTATATAGTGTATTATACATTCGGGCTTTTCAGCGGTAGCTAGGCAAAACTATATACAACCAATAGAACTGGGTGAGAACTTGCACCACAGAAATGCTACACTTTGAGGGTTTCAGCCGTTAAGTGGTAGCATTCTTTAAATCAATGCCGCAATCGTGCACACACACACACACACACACACACACACTCACCCATGGACGCACAGGTTGAGGGGAGAGGGGGAAGAACTGGCTACAGAGAGAGGGCATTTTCAGAGCTGAGGCTCCCTGTGTCTCAACTGAAAGCCGAGGTGGAGTTCACGTGTACAGTGGTGGTAGGAGACCATATGAAGAACGTCTCAACATCTATCTCTGCCTACTGTAAGCTCTCTTCTTTAATACGTGGTGCAACTTCATTGCCTGAGGCTCGTGAAATTTTATTTTATGGGTATATACACACAACAAAGTTGCATCCGATTACAGTATAAAATGTACGTAGCTATCTTGATTGAGTGTGATTATATCTGTTGCATCATCTCTCTTTCATCATCTTCAGCTCATGTAGAGTTCACAGAGCAGCCAGGAGAGGTGGCTTCATCCACTAGGGAGCCCTTACTCTCGTGTTCAGCCACTTCTATCCCAGTCGCTCAGATATCCTGGTTTCAAGTATTGAGGAACGGAACTGCCAGGCAGATAACTAGCAGGGATGTGGGGATATCGATAGGTGAAGAGCTGGAGGATGATAACTGTACGGTGAGGAGCACCCTGCAATTACCGCCAATCACCGACCTGAGCGTGACTGGCTACTACTGCCAGGGAAACAACGGATTCTTCTTGAACAACAGCAACACTCTTGATCTGCTTCAAAGTATGAAAACTAAAAGAGTAAACCTTCAAAACATGTTGTTTTTCTATTTTGCTCTCTATCTTTCACACACACACACACACTCAACTCTCTCTCGTTCTTTCAACTGCTTGCTTGTGCATAACTCATCTACATTGCCAGGTGTCCCAGCTGCTCCAGAGGTAATAGTCAGAGTTCTCTCAGAAAAATCGGTAGAGGTGGAATGGACCACTCCCACCAGTCTCCTACCTCTGGACCACTATACTGTGACCCTCTACCAAGACCCCACTGACAGAGAACATCTACAATCTCCCTTGCAGTCCACCACACGACCCTCCAGTGAGGAGACTAGGCTGGTGTTTGAAGACCTGAGGCCTTTCACTGTGTACTCTGTGGAGGTGGAGGTTGGCAACATTGCTGGTAATAACATCAGCTCAGGACCAATGAGACTACAGACACTCGAAGCTGGTGAGGACCCAACAACAAACCAGTATAATTATACAGCAATCCATTCTAACTCTAATACAGACTCAACAAACTAGTAAAAAATAAGACACAAAATTTCTGATTCGATCTAACTTTCAGAAACTAGCAGATCTCTCGTGACATAAATGGGAAGGGAAGCTCATTGCTAATCCATTAATCCACAGCTCCTGAAGGGGCTCCAGAGAATGTTGTGGCAGAAGCAAAGGACACAGACAAGATCAGAGTGTCTTGGAGTCCTCCGGCCCGGGTCTTACCAACGGAGTAATTCGGAGTTACTCCATTATCTATCACCCCACGGCCGATCCCACTCTCTCGTCAATTCTCAACAACCTCCCAGGGACGGAGGCAGATCTTGATTTGCCAATGGGTACAGGGGTCAGCTACAGTATCAGAGTAGCTGCCTTTACTGTAGCCAGGGGACCCTTCAGCGAGGGGGTCATTCAAATGACATACCCCTTGCCCCCCTCGTTTTCTTCCGGCCCCCCAATCATTGTTCCTGGAGTCGAAGAAACCAAGAACACTATCACTCTCCAGCTACCTTTTGTGAACACAACTCAATTCAGGTATTACAGACCCCACGGCTAACAATAATTGCCTCTTGCACCCACCCAATATGTGGTCATTTTGTCCATACTGCCTTCTTTACGACGTGTATATATGTTTCTCTCTTTTACTCTCTATGCAGCCATTTCTGGGTGGTAGTAATGAGAGTTGATGAGAGGGTTACCCCCCAAACAGACATCACTCAAGACATGATAGTACCACCAGCCTCTCCCTCCACTGATCCACCAGCAAACACACCATACATAGTGGCCGAAATGTCAGCGGACACTTACCAGAAGTACAGAGAACTGTTTGTGATTGGAGACGAGAGTGAGACTAGAGAACTCAATGATTTCCCTGAGCTATACCACAACCTGCCTTTACTGCCAGGCTCTACATACACGGCCTTTGTGAGAGGCTTTGCTCCCTTTATGCCACCTTCAAGGGTAAGAACTGGATCCGCCAATCATTAATTTGCTAACATTCATCTATTGGTGTTGTGAGAATTCAATTAGTAGAGTGAATATGTGTATGTTACAGATGAACACAAGGAGCAGGAAGCAGGCTGAAGAGCCAGAGAGGCAGTATACAGTCTTCTCTTCCAGTGAATTACTTCCCATTACAGCCACACTCTCTGCAGTATCTACACACACTATACACACACCTACTTAAGGCCACCATTATGAACTTCCTCTGCAGCTACAAAGGGAGAGGATGGAACCAGTCAGCTACAGGTTGTGAGCTACGTGGCCATTGGTGTTGGATGCATACTGGTCCTACTGGTTGTGATCATCATACTAGTTGTCACCAGGAAGCTCAGAGCACTTGGCAGGTAAGATGCCAAATGGTATCAAGTGCTCCAGGCCACTTAAACGCATCACTTTAGACTCAAAGCCAGTGCTCTATTCTCCATTGGCCATCCTAATTCACTATCCAATGTCTTTGATCTAAACTGTCCTTATATGTAGGCATGGAAGTGAAAGGCAGGTTGTCATCACAGCGAGGTCAGTCCTCCAGTAACAGTGGGACCCTGCCAAGAGGACTCACTGTCACGGGAGAAGGCATCAAACACGAGGAACACATCTACGAAGACCCTCTCTGCCTCAAATCCCACGAGGCCTACTCTGACGCAGAGCCAATGTACAAGGTCCCTCGACCCATCTCCTGTGAGGATATGCGGGGAGAACCCTTCAGTGACGCTGGATATGAGATAATCCCCTTGGCATCAACTAGACCCACGCAGAGGAACGAAAATGTGACCAGCGGAAATCGAGAGAATAATCAGGAACTCGCCTCCGGGTTAGCCCCTGGTAGTTACTACGAGCTAATGCAGCATCCGTCGTCGCCGGGAAAGGGGAGCATGCTGAGTCTCCCAACCACCTCCCCAACTCCATATCTCAAACCAGTTGGAGTGTCGGATACACTCGGAATAGCTGCCGGACACACTCTAATGCAACAGCAAGGCTCAATTGGACACTATGCCAACAGTCCTGAGGACAAAATGACGCTGGGTCACCAAAACTCTGCATACGCCAACGTTGAAGCCGAGACGAGTTTCGAGACTACAAATACGGCCACGAACGCTGGGACCCATGAACCACCAGGTTACGTAGTGATGAAATCAGCAACTCTGAAACACCAGTAGCTTTTCCACACGTGTATAAATTATCACAACACACGCAAACGTAATACGCAGGGTCATGTATAATAGAAAAACCCAAAACCTTTTAACGCCGCATAATAATTATTTTATCTGGAACATGGATTTTATGATTGTGGTAGATGATAATGTTGAGGTAACCCAGTGAGGAAAACTGTCCATGCCAACGCTTACCCGCCTACATTACTCAGTATTATATAATCTGGCACATGAATTTGATGATTGTGTTTGATGTTTCAGCAGTCATATTATGCGTAATAGTATACCATACTCAGTGATGGTAGAATGTTAGATGCCGTTTGACATGACAGTAACTGTGGATAGAAAGAAAACACAACAATCATTTGCATTAATGTCAACAAGATATTTATTCAGAGGTTCAACACTTGTGATTTCCTAATGGTGTTGAAAAGGTTGACCAATAAGCAAAGGTAGTATGGGGAATGGGGATACCTGAACACTTGAGTTACGTAGCTATGTACCTGGGTTACTGCCACTGTCAATGAGCTTACTTGGGGGTGGAGGGCCTTCCGGAGACACAGGGTTAATCTCACTCCCAGGAGACACAATAGACACTACATGAACAGACGACAAGTATAGTACGAAGCTACTTGTATTGTAACACATATAAGTTGGTGTACTTCCTAAAGCTGGGTTCACAGTAATATTATGACGTCAAAGCAATCTTTAAGGCACAATGCAAAACACAACGCAGCGTGCCGCACACAACAAAACTTGAAAAGTGAAAATTCCTGAAGTGACAAGAGGGAATGTTTCACATGAGTGTGACTAACCAGTAGGGGGAGAGGGCGGAGGGTTTGGAGAAGGGGAGGTGGGCGTGTCAGAGTTGCTGCTGAGAGGGAGCGGAAGAAAGGCAGGGTCTGGCCGAGCCATTCGAGTACGGAGCATCTCTTGTCCGACGTCACGTCCGTCCACGTTGACGTGGATCTTCATCGATTCAGTTGAAATAGCCTGTGAGGAGAAAGAAATGCCTGACAAATGAAAGCACTGAAGTGCAAACCCTCAACGTACTGTGCATGTGCGGTACCACTGATTGATGATAAAATTACAGTGAAATGGTTTAGGGGCACACATAATTATAATAATTCTCTCATTTTTCCATCCATGAAGAATCTTCTACCTTCTAATGCACCATATTCATGCATAAAAGGTGCAGCTTTTCTTCCCCCTATTTATACATATGTCCGTATATACCTGAACTGTAACAGTCTTGTCTAATATCAGATTTGAGAAGAACACAGACGCATCCATGCCCCACACACCACCACTGTTCACGGGCAGGACCCCAGCCAACTCTGCCTTCAGTGCCTGCGGGGGAAACCTCCCCAGGTTCGTCGGCATGGTAGCTAGCTCGCCGGCCGGAACCACACCTTGATTCCCATAGTCTACGTACGAAATTTGAAAACCATTCTCCAACCTTTTGTCCACTTTCCCCCTATACCACCTCTCCCCCTGGAACGGAGCTAAGACCATTTCTCCCACACTGTACTCTGATCTGGGGTTCAGAAACTGCTGATATTGTGCCAGGAGAGGCTGAATATCTGTCAGGTATGAGGGAAATTGGACATAGAATTCTCCCGGGCTGTTCACTTGTACTACCGTCATCTCCAGAGTCTGCCCGACAAACGGTGAATCGGTGGAGTTAGCGTGAGGCGGGGGAAGGGGAGGAGTAATGGGGGAGATGGAGGTGGGTGTGGCTTTTAGCAACGGGTGTCCGGGGATAAGTGACGAGGTCATATTTGTGAGAGAGATGAGAGGAGAGAGACTGGGATGAGGGGCTGCAGAGAGGATTTTCCCGTTAGGAGTGACAGCAGACTGTGTCGTGTTGTTACTCTTCATCTTCTTCTTCCTCTTCTTCTCGACGTGGTTCTGCACCACCGGTACACACCTGGAGACAACACATGATACACGTCACTATAGCACCCCGTACAATGTGAGGAGAGTGCAGAGCATAAGACAAGGTTAACCTGGCCAGGCCTTCCACTACCAACATGGAGTTGATGGACTGGTGGGTCCTCTGGTCAAACAGCTCCACCGACAGAGGTTCTCCTGCAGCTGAGACATGGTGAAAAGACAAGTTCTCTCTCGTATATACACAGACACACTGTCCACAAACAGGAAATACCGGGGGAGGGGACTCACACATTCAAAGCAAGCGAGAATTTACAGACACACAAAATTAAGTCTTGAATTGTGAAGGTTATCTCTCTCGAAAGTAACTCTGTGTTGCGTATATTTACTTGCTTCGGCGCATGTCTTCAGCTCCAGTACACAGTCACTCATGTCGCTTCTGAACCGCTCAATTACCTGCAGTCAGCAGTCAACAACATGTCGATGTTACAATTTGTGTCAGCTAAGAATACCTCTAGTGGCCAGTCAGATCCTTGGACTGGTTGAAGAGTGTGCAGTTGGCAGTGAGTGGCCTGTGGCAAACACAATGAGGGAAAACACAGACACTCTCTCTCTCACAATGCAAAGAAGGTATACAGTATCGCAACACTAACAATTATTTCACAAATAATGTGGGGGTGACTTCTACCACAAAAGTATCGTGCTAGAGCACAAATAAGTCACATGATTATCACATGAACGCAAAGCACATTCAAGTGGTCGGTCGGTGCACACAACCCCTTTCGAAAATTTGCCACAAAGGTTTGTTGCACAATCTTTACCAGTGCAGCGTGAAGGGTGATGTAGGTGTGGTCCAACTCCCAAACTTCGTTCACCGGTTCCTTGGTCCCATAGTCCACGTACTCGACTGTTATTGTCTTTTCTTCCCCTTTACCACTCACGTCTTCGGAGGCCGGGGGGAGAAAAACAGACAGACAATATAATTAGAACTTTGTCTTCCTGGACACGGACTAAACACAGAGGCAGACAGACATATATACCGACAGACAGACAGACAGACAGACAGACAGACAGGCAATAGACAGAATCTACAACTACCACGTACATGTATACACAAAATGTACATACTTTCCAACAGCATGACAAAGTACACAGAGATCTACGTCTCACTCACCAGTAATGACAGCTCTCTTTAACCTGTTTGCTTTCGAGCTTGCCATGCACACCAGACCTGTATATACACACAGACAGAGACACTAGAGTACCAAATCACATCTTTCTCAGTGAAAATGTTGCTCGATCTTCACCAGGCAATTACAGCAGAAACATTGTAGAAATGTCACTAAACTACGTATAATTATAGAGACAACACTATTTTCAGATGTTATGACATACGGTATCACTAGCAAACCTCTGTAGGTGAAGTAAACTCTCTGTTTTCTTCGTTTTGTCAAGGACTCCATCATATTCTTCGCTGCCTTTTTATGTTTTGTCTGCAGATCAGTACAACAGAATACAGTGGAACCTCCGATAATGGACCCTCTGAGATAGGGGTGACCTCTCTACAAAGGACACTTGTTTCAACCCCATGCTAAAACTTTAGTCTATCATTTGACCTCCGAGATAGGGGTGACCTCTCTACAAAGGACACTTGTTTCAACCCCATGCTAATACTTTAGTCTATCATTTGACCTCCGAGATAGGGATGACCTCTCTACAAAGGACACTTGTTTCAACCCCATGCTAATACTTATGTAACATCCGAGAAAGGGACGGCCTCTCTACAAGGAATAAATAGTTGGTCCCATAGTGTCCCTTGTTCGGAGGTTCCACTGTATTGCACAGTGTCCTGAGAGTCTCACTGGTTGAACGTAGAAACTGCTCGGACTCCTCGGAGATGAAACTGCGACCTCCACTGATCCAGTCTTTGGTAGAGGGAGAGGAGGAGGTATTGATAGAATGTCACGAGGTGACCGTTTCTTCAACCTAGCGGGAGTATGGGAAGTAGCAGTCACTTCAGGTGTGTCCTTTTTCATTAATAAAACATAATGCCTGTAATGTGCCGCTGGCCGACATGTTGAGGTCATATTGAAGCCTTACATATGCAACCAGGCTTTACCTCTAAACACAACAGGTGTTCCATTAGCTAGGTGGCTGGGCAATAACCAGCCAGGTGCATTAATTAACACTGCTACCTTCATTCCTGCATATTACACACATGGTTTAGTTGACAGGTGGCAAGACAAACTTCAGTCACAGTGTAAGTTGCTTGCGTGCTTTCTTAAAATGGCGCTGGGCCTCCAAAAATTTACGGCTCAGACACACCCCAAGTTGCCTAAAAGAAATGTGTGATTTTCTTGTGGGATTTGGCTTCAATTATCAAGCTAAAAAACTGGATGGTTTTTCAGGCATGTACGTAATCTCTCTGACCTGGCAGCTAGACCGATCTGGACCAGCCTGTGAGCCACAGACCGAAGAGAGCCGTTGGGAGAAATGTCGAACAGGTCGACCTCCCTGTACCCATTGGAATTACGACACGCCTCCTGCAGAGAATACACGTGTCAACGAGGTAGCAAGGCAAGGCATAGCAACCACACCCAGGACAGCTCTTTTTCCCAAGGTAAAAAGAAGAGCTGCTCTGGGTGGGATTCGAACACACGACACTCTGCAGTCTAGGCGAGTGCTCTACAAACTGAGCTACAAAGGCAACTCAACCGGCACATGTAGACTCTGCCTCCTAGTAGCTGAGTAGGCAGTACATACTGATGCGGTCGGGCAAAAGATGAAGAGACGTAACTAGAGTTAGCTCCAGAGACTTAATTTGGGGGACAGAGCAGTCCCTTAGCAACAATTTTAGGGTCAATTAAAACTACTTTAACACTGCACTACTTAATAAACAGAGTGGGGTGTTAATGTGTGGTTTTTATTATTCACCTTCATAACGACATTAATCTCCTCATCTTCCTCAGGGGCGCGGCATTCTTGAAGTGCGTAATGGCCTTTTGGCTCCAGCTAGGAGGAGCCATGTTGGAGAAGAGAGAGGGAGGTTGGATTCCTGCGAGGAGACACTTGTGACCGTAGAATGGGCCGCTTTCCATTCCCGGTGGCAGCTTTGTGATGCTGTCAGGGAGGAACAGAGGGAGAGGGAGGGAGAGGGAGGGAGAGGGAGAGGGAGGGAGAGAGAGAGAGAGGAGAGGAGAGAGATGGCATGAAAAATTTACAGTTAACCGAGGCTCCCCTTAAAACCATGAGGGTTGTATACATGACAAACTTTACTGTCTTAGCCGAAACAGCATTATTCTGCAACGTCTGTAATAGCAATACATTGTGTACGAATGCGGTTGGGATCACTTATTTTACTAAGTTGCATGCCGTTGGGCATGATATTTTAAAAAGTGTGCAAAAAAATTTGGTGGTCACAGACTAAAACCGAGTCTTACCTTCTGAGGGGGAGATTCTCATAGTTGCCGTAGTCAACATAGACCACACTGACGTAGGCTGGGGAGGTGTTCACGTAGCAGCCAGTCACTTCAGCTCTGTACCACAGGTCATCGTTACTGAATATCGCTCCTACCATCATCCCTACGTATTAGATTGGACGTGCATCATTATAGAGTCAAGCTTATTGAGGCACGTAATATATTTTTGGGTTTTCAAAAGCACAGCACATGATACAACATTGGCTTGAAGTGTTTGGTAGTAGAGAGGGGCAGCAGTAAATAAAATCGTTATCAACAAAAAAAAATTCAAAATGAATATCGGTGAGAATGATGCCCCTCGAAAAAATGCCATGGTGGTAAAATGCTCCTTCCTATAGGCTGAGCACAAGGACTGTTATCACTAGCACAGGAAGTGTTGACGATGAAGGGAGTGGGGTGTGCATCCACCACATACCCTCCTTGATGTCACTCTTCTTCATCTCTCTCCTGTCTCTCAGCGCCTCATTCAGTTGGAGGGACATCGCTTGGAGGTCGTCCTCGTTGTCCTTGAATTGGATGTAGAACTCAGATGGAGTTTCTACGTAGCTCACCCACACAGACACTATATGGAGAGAGAGAGAGAGAGAGAGAGATCAGAAATACACGCAAACTGTCAAAACAACACGAGGCCTACACTGACTATCTCACAAGAAAAACAATCGTTTTAGTTTTTCACGCTACATTACGAACAAGCGATACACGCAGCAGCACCATCATTATTAGTATGTTTCGGCATTAAGTCAGTGTAGGTAAGACTAGAGCACACACTCACAATAGGGTAATCAGCTATTAACAACACGAACGAGCTTTATCAAAAGTACAAACTCCCCCTTTCTGCCTAGATTTCCCCCCACACAATATTTCCCACCACAGGGGTCACCCACCGGTCTCCTCGGTTTTGGGGGGAGGTGGGGCGGGGGTGGCCGTTCGACTCCTGCTCCTACTAACACTCCTGCTCCTGGCAGACGAACTGACACTGCTAGCTCTGTCCAGACAGACAGATAATTGTCATGTACATATTCCTTCACATACATGAGAGAATTGATTAGCAACTTCATGTTAGAACATCGCTCCACCTCTATTAGTCTGTTGTGTGTCACCTCTGTTGCGAATTCTAGGCACGAATCGCCTACAATTCTAGGGCAATCAGTAAAATTACACAAGCCGGTCACATAGTTGGCAATTCAATTCAACAACATGTTTAAATGTGGAACGGGTTTCTTTTATAATGCCCTGTAGATAGCTACAATATGTATGTAAAAATTGCATGATGCAGTAAACATCAGTCATCGTATTTTATCAGCACAGTCATAAATATTTGCACACAGAATATAGCACTTGAAGACTTTATGCTTTACTTACAGCTATAGTACAGTTATTAACATTGTATAGCATATACCCTGATGAAGGAGCGAACGGGAGGGCCAGCGGTGACAAGGAAGACCTCATTGTGTCGGGAACAGGCGGGGCAGCAGAGAGCAACTCGGGCGGCGGAGGAGTAGGACTTGGTACACTTTGTTCACCAGTTGCAACAACAGTTCCTTCACCAGTTGCATCAACACCAGTTGTTCTTTCACTGGGGATGGTGATGCTTGAGCTAAAACAAAGAAAATATATTTGCAGCTGGTGTATACATACATACATACCTGGGGACCGTAAAGACTGCAGTGCCTAGCAAAATTGCTGCCTTTTGTTGCGAAAACCTTCCGGCGGAAGCACGATCGCGCACACACGCACGCGCGTACACGTACACGTATAATTATACGCACGCGCGCGCACGCAAGCGAGAATCGCGGCGACCGGAAGTCAATTACGGGAATATTTTATGCGCATGCGCAAACGGCGCGGCCGCGAGAAACTAATTTTTACCTGCTAGCCGACATCTGGAAGTGCCCAGCCACGTTGAGAGCATCTCTTACAGCAGGTGAAAACTGGAAACTAAGAATGGGGAGCCTTTAGCTGCACAGCTCCTACAAAATACATTACTATATATACCTAATCTGCTTCACACTTGGCAAATCCTTGACGACTATTTCCTTTACTGCCTGCAGCGATTCCCGCAGCTGCAATAAGAGAGAAGTGAGTGAACAAGGAAGAGAGATGGGCAAGCAAACCTGGACAGTGCTTTGGAGCAATCTAACGTCAGATTTCATCTTGTCTCTGGCCTGCAGCAGTGCTTCCATTACTCTCTCCATATCAGCATCCAGTGCTAGCTCCTGCAAATTATACAGCAGCCACACTCATGAAAATAATAAAAAATGTTCACTTATGTTTGGGATAGTATTGATGGCATCCTGCCCAGATAGAGCATTGTGTCTTACTGGTGTTAACTGAGGTGCTAAAGATGTTGTTTTTCACCTAAGATGGGTATAGAGGGCCTTGATAGTGGTATGTATAGTGGGAGCTCTGACTATGTAGATGACAGCTGGGACCCTGAAATAATTATGTCGTACCCTTTGGCCTCAAAAATTATTACACAGATCAGAACAAGTGTCCTTTGGAAGAGGTTACACTGTATGTATATATGCAGCTTTCAGTTGGACCCATTGTATAGAGGCTGTTACTACCATCTCTAGGAAAGTTGCAGCCTGAAGTTCAGCATCCTGGTCCAACTGCATGTGTAGCGCCATCTCCCTGTGGGAAAACACACCCAGAGTAGGTGACAACCAAAAAAATTAACAAATTGTGGTTGGGAATGTTAAGCCCCACCCTGGACGGAAAAACACCAGGCAACATTTGAGGTTCGATAATTGGCTAGGAAGGCTAGGAAGGCGGGCCATTCCCAGTATACTACTTTCCCAGCTAGCGGAGCAGTGCCACCTGGAGCAGTGTCGCCTGGAGAAGTGTCGTGGGTTCGTGGGTTCGAATCCCACCCAGAGTAGCTCTTCTTTTTTTCAAGAGTTGTCCTGGGTGTAGTTGACTTGTTTGCCTTTCTATATATATACCTCGTTACCAAGTTGTTGACACAGTCATACATACATTGCACATGGACTATGGTTAAACCTCTTTTGCAGGAGAGTGTAGAGCTCTCTTGTTTGCTGTTCCATGGAGCGACAGGCAGCCTGACTTGATTTGTGTATCTCCTGTAACCTAGCCTTCACCTCCTGTATAGTGGACATCAGCCACACTCTCACTGAACTATATATTACAGACATACATGCACTACTGGATGATTGAAAAACACATTGATATGTAGGATGGAGCCTTCTGAACCGTGTTGGAATCTTTGCACAACATAGTATAATACTTCTGAAGGTCATCAGAGTGGCTTACTTGTTTCTTTGCTTTCATGGCGGAGAGTACTGACTGGGCTTCAGCGATGAGCTCCTGAAACTCCTTTCGAAAGGTGCCGGCCTGCAAAATGTTATTTTTCTCTTATTTTTTCTATCTTTCTTATCTCTCTTCTATATACACACACCACTCTTCCTCAATCTCCATCCCTCAAAGTGAAAACTAAACGTCTCAAATGTATATGCTGAAACTTGCTATACCTATCGTTGTACTAAGAATTATCGTACTTAGTGAGATGCATACATACAAACACTCACTGCGTCTTCCAAAGTCACAACGTCGTGCTCCTTGTGAGAGTGAATGATGCAGTCGGGGCAAACCGCCACTCGGTCTGTCTGGCAGTAGTAAGAGAGCCGGGAGAAGTGAACGGAGCAAGTGGGGGGAGGCACGGCTGCCTGGTAGGCAGGAATTGCCCTGTGTCTTCTCAACGTGTTGGCTGTTGCGTGTACCTGTGCGTGCAGCAGACAATCACTAGTTCACTAGGGAAAAGGACAATCAGAATCTTTAAAGAGAGGTGTCCTTTGTCCTGAGGGGCCTTTTTCACAGGTCTCACTGTGATCTTGAACCAGGCGTAGAATTAGTTGTAGAATACGCACACTAAATATAGGTTAGACGCTGGAAGCGAGGGACCTATGCAAACTTGTGTTGACTAATCAAATTGCTCGATTCAAATGAGCTATGCACTAACACCAGAGTAGGATGAATTCTGAAGCTGCTGTAGGACACACTACACACTCACAATCTTGAAGCAGGTGTCGCAGAAGAATCCGTCGCACTGGATGCATTTCTTCTCCGCTGGTTTACTGGTACATTCATCACATGTGGGTGTCTCCCCTGAGAATGTGTATATACATTACTCTCTGAAATTGTATATACTCTCTGACTGAAAACTGAAGTACAGTAGTAACATGTTGAGCTGGCACACTATGAGCTCTCGAGGTATACATATGAAAATGTAATCTTACCTCCAGTCTCGACGTCAGGTTGAAAATCAGTCAGCTCAAATCCACCATCCTTTGGCTTGTCCTCCCAAAGAGACCGGTTCCAGACACTCTGCCTGGGGGTGCTGTCATGTGACAGTCACATGAGGTCAGGTGATGCTGTGACACCTACCACTTGAGGTTGAGATGTCGGGCAGCGACTAGACCCAGGACGTGTATGTTCGGTACCAGCTGCTCCTCTGGCGGCTCTGACGAATTGTAGGGAGTTTTTGACTGATGGGGATTGGGGGGATAGGGAAGAATAGGGAAGAAGAGAGGGTAAAAATAAGGATGAAAGTGGGGTGGACAGTAGCAAAGGTAAACTTCGGCTACATGACAGGTAATTTGTTCCTTACCCCACAGTCCGTGCAGGTGATGACATCTTTGGATTTCCTGGTAGCTGCTGAGATGCACACTCCACAGAGGGTGTGGCCACACTTTAGCAGAAACGGCAGTCTCTTTGGGTGTCGTGCGTTCTCTTCATTCACAAAAAGCATGTTTATAGTTGGATTCAATAACCGTAGCTATAGCTAATATACCTCTGAGGAGGAAATTTGGCGGCAGTTTCTACACGTTTCGTCCCGTTTGGCCATGCCAGCCTGCAGCGCTCTCTAGCGCTCTGCTGTCTCAAGTCCTGACCGGCACTGTCGATGTCTAGGCCAACTCAGTCTGCTACTGCTCCAGCGCGCGCACGTATTGGAGCGCGCGAGGGTCGTTCTCTTATTGACGCGCACCAATAAACACCTCCGCCGTAACAAAGAGAGGCGGTCCTTGTGTGTATGGCTCTCTCTCGTGTCTCCAGGAGTAACGTCATGGAACTGATGAGGGTCAGTGCCACTAAATGATCCAGACCCCATGGATATCTTGGCTGTTGATATCTTGTAGATGACGCTATATGTCTTTTTTCCTGTGGGAGTGTTTTATTACTTCAACGCCCCGGGGTACTTTGACCAGAAAATCGAGAAAAAGAGAGTGAGTCTTGGCTATTTATGACCTTATCATAATATGATGATCTTTTCCAATGAAGGTAGAAATCTTCCCCAAAGGAAACGTAAGGTTTTTTTAATGTTTGAGAGTGTGAGGCGTAATTATTATCGGTTCTCTATGTGCTAGAAACCTCCATTGACGTTTGAGGAGAGCAAAAAGCTGCAACAGGAGTTGAGAAAGAAGCGGCGCGAGGCAAGACACTCGACCAACATTAGTTAACACAGAACACACACAAACACAGGCAGCAATGTGTATGTCAATCTATGTGTGAGTATCTCCGATAATTTGCGTAATTTCGTCGTCATTATCGTCCTTGATGTTGTCAGGTTTTCTTGAGTTCTGCGCGTTTGAAATGCAGTCTTTCGGCATGGTTGCATTATTTCCGACTGACTCTAGGTTGCCACCTGCATCAGATCTAGGCTCAGTGATAACCTCCACATCTCTTGTGTGAACTTCCCCAATGTCCCTGACTTCACTACTTGCACTATTCTCTGACGCACAGCTCTCACTCCTTGCTTTAACAGAAACGGTATTAGCGTCTTCCTCCCCGGTTTTTGCTGGCCCCTCTCCACTTGTTATTTGGGTGCTCAATTCTTTTTCCATTCTCGCAGATTCCTCCAACTCGTCCGTGTCCACCTGAGCACCGTACTCAAGATTGATGTACACCACACACCCATCAGGACCCTGTCTACCTTCCCCCCTCTCGCCCTGGGCCTCCGCTGGCACCAGTCGCTCCAGTCGAGCCACAACTACGTCCATGTTGGGTCTTTTCAGCGGAGATCGAGTCCAGCAGATCTTCATGATATCGTATACAGAGGCCGGGCACAGCTTTGGGCATTCGAGAATCCTTGAGGCCTTTACAGCATCTATGACTTCGTAGTTTGATAGCCCTGTGTACGGTCGACGTCCAAAGGTAAAGATTTCCCACATGAGGACCCCGAAGCTCCAAACGTCGCTCTGCGTTGTGAATTTCCCGAATAGAAGTGCTTCAGGGGGCATCCAGCGAACGGGGAGACAGGCCTGTGTCCCACCAACACGATAGTAGTCCATTGAACTGAGGTCACGCGATAGGCCGAAATCACCAATCTTTACAACCATGTGTGTATTGACGAGACAGTTCCTGGAGGCAATGTCACGGTGGATGTACTTTAGCTCTGCCAGGTAGGCCATTCCACGCGCCACTTGCAGGGAGAAGTTGAGAAACTCGGAGGGAGTTATAAAAATACCGTCTTCTCTTTTATCGTTGACCTCTGTCTCTGCATTTTCTGGGTCTGACTTCCGCAGTAGATTATCAAGGCTCCCGAGGTCCATGTACTCGAATATCATACACTTTTGGGCAGTGGTTGAGCATATGGCCAGCAATCTCACAATGGTTGGGTGATTGAACCGCGCCACCGCCTTCACCTCCTTACAAAACTCCTCCGACATGGAACTGGCGTCTTTCAGAGTCTTGACTGCCACAAATGCAGGTACGAAACCGTGTCTCTCCAATCCGGGAGCCGTGGCCTTGAACACACGTCCAAATGCTCCCTCGCCAAGCTCGCTCACCACCTCCAGACTGGGGTAATTGTACTCCATTCCCAACTCCTTCAAACAGTCATACGGACTCTTTACGGTCTTCAGCGTGTAGGCGTTGTTACTAGAGAGGTTATCCATGCTATCGAGTCGTTGGAGAGTCACGGTTTTTCTCCGGATGATCCTGCGAGTCAGGAGAATCATCACTAGAACGGCAGTGAGTGTGATGAGGAGGAAAAGGAGGCCGGGGAGAAGGCCAGCCAGGAGTCTGACTCTGATAGTGTTGGTTGACCTCCTGTCTGGAGGACGGCTTACTGGTGTAGTTGAATCTATACACATGGAGATGCCACGTAATGTAATAATAATGGAGACCTGCTGGGAGGTTGGTACAATTATACACTGAATGTTTTCTACTAGGCCAGTAGGATTTGTCTATTAGACTCACTGGTGGTAGCTGGAGTGCAGTTTTTGAAGATGGATGACAAGTAGGACTGGAAGTAGAGTGTTTCGTTCAAGATTGTGGACATGTTCATCACTGCTTGCACCTCTACAAACCCTGGTCCAACGCAGGGCAGGTTCAGGTAGATAACTAGGGAGAGATTTTACGTGGTAGGAAAACATTCTCCGTACGTAAGGTTATAAGATGCAGTATTGTTCTTGTGACTTACTTGTTTCTCTTTCCACTGGCACTCCTGCTGTGATGGGTAATATGTACGGTGGGTCCAGTATAGAAGTGTTGGTCGAAGTGAACAAAATCGAGAATGCCAAACCCTTTGCACCAGAAACTCTATAGTTTATACAGTGTGTGTTGGTGTGTATGAATAAGGAGCGCATGAGAAACCACTAGACCAGTGAGCTGTATACAGGTGACTTACATTCCGACATACATCTCCAGTGCGGGGAAAATCTCAGCGACGGGGAACAGTGGTCTGAGGGCGGGGTCCGCTGCAAAGGTTGCGAGTCCTCCTTCGACGGCCTCATCAATGACACAGTAGCCTCGCAACGGGTCCTCTCGATTGGGTCTCAGGGGATCTGTGAGGGGATACAGTGGAATATGCTATTGTATCGTCAAATTATAGCTGCATACAAGATCTGTGCAATTACACACTTAGGATTTACGGAAAGTTTGGCAGTTTCTTGAGCTACTAATAGTACGGTAGGAAATGTTACTGAGGTTTACAGAACTATTAGGGTCAGAGAGAGTATGTAAGAACTGAGTCTTTGAGGTCTCACTGACTTAGTAGCACTCCCCAGCTTCCGACAGGGTTGGTCACAAGTTGCTGGGACTGGTTGAGGGTGAGGCACAGTTCTCCAGGAACAACACTACCCCGGGCCCTCACTCCCTCACACGTACTGTCGGTAAACCCTGGGGAAAAGTCGAGAGAAGTCTAGAAATGTCCCACTGTAGAGCACTTTACCTTCACAGCGGTGGAGAAAGTAAAATTCGAGGGTTTTGTAAGTGCCTATGAGGGCGTCAAATGGTGCAGTTCCCAGAGTGAGGCAACCCTGAATCACCACTTCTCCTTCTCCAACACAGCTCACGTTGACTTTGTTCACTGCACAATGCAGCCATGCACACCGGATAACACTGCGACTAGTCAACACGGTAAGCTTACTAAATTCATCTCCAGGACCGAGTTGGCCTGCTTTTCTAGCTGGACATCCTGCAGAAGCTATGGCGGTGTTCAGGCTCCATGTATTGAACAAATAATACACCTGCGAATGGAACACTCAGGTTATGGTACTAGCTACTGCATCAATCTATTTCTCTGATGCTGACCGGTTCAGGAGCTGTGCTGTTGAGTTGAAGAAGAATTGGTAGAGGAGTAATGCTCGTGGAGAAATGGAGACTGTCAATTTCTGTAGCACTTGATGCTGAACTAAACACAGCAGACACCTCTCCGGCTCTTATCAGCTCTACTGGGCTATTGTCCAGCCCTGAACCAGATCCTATCATCCCAACACAAAAACTTCAGCTAGAGCAGACCCGCCCACTTTATGGCTGGAACTTTCCACTTACCAGAAGCCTGAGAATCACTGGTGTTCACAATCACGTAGGCAGAGAAATGGTTGAGGTCCAGGGGCGCCTGATCTCCTGCCGCCTGGGCTGCCAGGCTCGGGCACGGCTCCCCGAAAACCATCGGCAAGAGAGTAATGAACAGTGCCGTTATGATGCTCCTACGTGCAGCTTGGTCCGACATTCTCACACGAACTCACAACGGGAGCGACCTCTCGCTCCGAATAGCAGTTAGTATAGCACACTAACCAGTGCTAACTAGAGTAGGTGTATGTCCTTGTATGAGTGCACTACCGACCGACGTTTCATCCTGCGCAGGTCGTGAATAATAGAGATAACAATAAAATTTGAGAGTCAGTGTTGACTGTATTATATTGTTTTCACAGTTCGGGAGCTGAGGAGGCGGTTCCATTAGTAGCTGCAGTAGTGTTTTTGGTTTCAAGTGACGCTGACGGCTCTTCTATACGAATTCTCTTTGGAGCATTTCCCTCCACTGAAGAATCGCCACTGTCTGCTGCTACAGCAGGCTGGATCCCATACAGTAGTAGTGCATAAAACAACACTGAGTAATGTCTACATACTCACCCTTTTCCTTACAAGGTGACTAATGTCGCTTATAGGAGCTTTATTTGAAGAGTTCTATTCATAAAACTTGAGTAAGTCACAATTATGATGAAAACTGGACATACATTGTTAGCCGTTTCCTCAGTTGATGCAGATTCGGAGAACCCAAAACTGGTTGTTACCTGTCATTATTTGCATATTGATAATCAGGTACTGCTTGTGCTGACGTCTTTACCTCTTCATTTTGTTTCTCCTCCTCTGCGCAGGCGTCGCTGATCTACAGAGTGAGGAAATACCGATTACGCATGCGCAATCACTTAACAAAAATGTTCGCGCCAAACTCAAAATTGTGTATCAGTAACAATGGCGGAGAAACCGAGACGTGACAACTTCAAGCAGAGCGTGATCGACATTCTCTTCAAGCGCTCCGGCGGGAGGTGCTGCATGTGCCGGGCCACCACTTTCGGGCCGCACACCGGTCGACACGACAAGTTCCAGAACATCGGACAGGCGGCACACATTTCGGCCGCGGCACCCGGGGGACCGCGCTACGACCCGAAGATGGCCGCCGAGGAGCGAACGAGCGCCAAGAACGGCATGTGGCTCTGCTCAAACTGCCACTCGCAGATCGACAGGGACACCGACCGATTCACGCTTACCGCCCTTCGCAAGATCAAGAGAGACGCCGAAGACAGGGCGCGGAAGGAAGTGGGCGTGGCAGACGTAAGTTCCAAAGAAAACATCTCACTGAGTTTACCTACCGTTCGTTTCCCCAGGTCCCGAGTGTGGATAGAGTGGACGAGACGGCAGAGGGGCTCCAGACTTCAGTCAGTGCCACGACCATAGTCGAGATACGCAAAGTCAAGTCCTCACTTCTTCGCCTCCACGGACAAAACATAGCCCGCGATGACGCAGAAGGAATTACGGAGGGTCTAACCTTTGTCAATCTGAAGGTGGATACCTACCACCCACAAGTAGGGACGGAGCTGCTTGGGTTCTTCTCCGCACTCGCCCCTCGTTGTAACGACGCCGAGATAAACCTTGAAGTGGTTCGGCAGTTTCAGTCTACGATGGAGAGATTCGATTCCAAGTGGAGCCAGACGGAGGTCACCCTGGTGACAAACACCCTCCACGCCATGACGACGTCTTTCTCGAAACGCAGCGGAGTCTACCGCTCTGCAGTTGCACTACTCAAAAACATGTCTCGTAGCAAGAGCCTTGCGTCCAGGAACCTCCACTCGATTCCACTAGAACGTCTCAAGGAGATCCAGGGAGGGGGACACAACAAGAAGAGGAAGAAAGCTGGCAACGACGAAATTGACTATGAGAAAAAATTGCTTTGTGGCACCGGGAAACGAGTAGAAGTTGGGGATGAATTGATGGGCGAGGAAGAAGAGGAGGGAGATGGTGGGACGGAATTTGTCGACTATATGGTAGAGCTGGCCGAGGCAAGCGAAGAAAATGTAGAACCACTAGAAGGAGCGCTTGAAGATTTGGGATACGAGCACGACATCATTTGAACACTTCAAGTTTACACTTTCTATTTTTATACCGTAGTTTTGTGTGCACTCAACTAAGTTTTATAGAACATTTTTGTCCACCCACCTTGGCGTCAAGGTCAGGCAGCAGTGAGTCCAGGTCGGCCAGTTCCTCCTCCATCTCTCTCCTGTCACTTCTCTCCCCCTTCTTCTCCATCTCCCCCACCAGCTTCTCTGAGAAATGGAGAGAAGAATACTTCACCGTATCCAAAAAAAGTGGCACACGGCAAAATCAACTCTTAGTGCAGTTGGTGGCAAAACTAAGAAATTTGTGGTGGGCTAATTTTACTGTTCCCTGCCCAGATTTGGAAGGAGATTTTCTATATTATACATGACATTCGTGCAAGTTCTCTCACTTGAAAGTTCCGCACTATAAGTATTACACACAGCAATTACATTGTAGTTGGCCCCACAAAGTGGAGGAGTTAATCTCATTACCTTTTCGTAGAGAGAGGGTATTCCTGGCACACTTGTACTCCTGAGGATGCCAAACAAGTCAGAGCATTACGTCGACACCAGCAACAGGCAACATTGCATATGTACCTGAATCGATCTCTTGGAGTCTTTCTGTAGTGCATATGCCAGTCCCAAGTTGAAATGACTGGGAAATAAACACGGAGAAACTAAGAGGTTTTTAGGGATTTTGCAACCTCAACAGGTCCCCCCTCCCAATGTATGGTATATAGAAATAGAAGAAGTGTATTATTGGCTAGCGAAGAGAGCCTCCCTAGTCGTCTGAATGTGGGATTTATTCATATGTATAATATATATCTGTAACGTCATCTGACACTGAACATACCATACTGTTTACGCGATTGTAAATGCGTGCGAAAACGCGTGAAATATTGAACTGCTCTAGAAATGCGTTGCATTCGTTCTAGTGAAGTGCTTCAAACTCACGCTTCAGCCAGTCTCCTGTCGTGGGGCTCCAGGAGAAGCTCCTTTAGTTGGAGGCCAGAGTTCATTTCTGCCACTGCTTGGTCTATCTGGTCTGCAGACAGACACACACACAACTATACACCGAACGGAGAGAAAGAGTAGGGATGAAGTAAACCTGATTCCAGAGCCACTTCTCCCAGAGCAAAGTAGACATCAGAGAGTTTCAGCTTGAACTCATCCGTGTCCTCTCTGAGCAGGGGGAGAGAAAGGTACAATGATTGTGAGTCCACCTAGTATATAGTCTTACGGCCCAATCTATACTGTAATGTTCGTGTAAATTTGCGCTCGCTCGCTCAGGATGCAGTGATGGTACTACATACTTCTGACAGATGACTCTAGCTAGCTCCAGGACCTCCCAGGCCAGACTCAGATCTGTCTCCTCTCCTTCCTCCCCCTCCCCCTCCTCCGCCTTCTCCCTGCTGGGGCCTGCCCCATCACTATGCACAGGTTCCTCCCCTCCACCCTCTTTCTCCTCACCCTCAGCACTGGGTCCTCCTCCAGCACCAGTAGAAGTCTATTGCATAAAATCAGAAATTAGTGTATTGAATGTTCAGTGAAACTTCTGAAAATGAGACATCTTCATGACACCAAAAGTGTATAACATTATTTAATTAGAAACAGGTGTCCCTATTTAGAGGTTCGACTGTTCCCTTTGAACATACGGTGTCGTTGCTTTGCTTTCCTACCTCACTCACGATTCATAGGCACACTTAGAATTCTAATATAGAAGAAGTCCAGTAGATGAAACAGAGTTGGCCCATAATATAGTGCAGCATTACAATGAACAAACAGTGGCTACACTTTCGTGTGACTGCTTCCTTACTATGCGCACCTGAGGAGTTGCGGTCTCATCTGCATGTGTGTTTGAAGGATCATCTTCTGCCTCTACCTTACCACTCTCCCCACCCTCTCCCCCCTCTCCCTCTCCCTCCTCTTTCTCCTCCTCCTCCTCCCCCTTCTCCTCTCCCTCATCTTCCTCATCGTCACTGGAAACTCTGTCATCTGGCACTGCAGGTCACGAAAATTTAAATCTTAACCACAATAGGGAATTGGCATGGCTCCAAACCCTAAATAGCTAGGTCAACAGTATAATGGTAGCCCTCCTTTTTCGAAATGTATCGAGCAGACTTTTCAAGAAGTTGATCTTTTGTCAATGCACATTACGCTGTTGAGAAGGCTCAAGTACTGGATGCTATACTAAAGACCTGGGATTCCAGAGCCGAGTACAGTGTTCTCTATTCGAGCACACTCCAGGAGAGCCTTCCCATACAGGTAGTAGGGCTCAGCCAGCTCCTTTGACAACTGTCCATACTGGTCCGCCCTGTGGAATATGGAGTGAGTGAGTGAGAGTATTTAGTTAGTGCTTGGCGGTTGCGAGGACCTACATGACGGAGCAAGCACTCTGGAAGCTCTCCACGGCGCTGGCCACGTCACCAGCTGCCAGGCAGCGTTTTCCTTCTGCCAACAGCTCCTCTTCAGAGCCCTTCATCCTGAAAGTAAAAGAGAAACGCGGGGGGTAAACGAAAGCAACGATGGACGTGTGGCTCTTTACGTTGATTTATCCGTTCCCTCGTCTGTTTCTTGGCTCATCTTCTCACTCATCTCGGCTTGCTCAACTGCAGCAGCGCGGGTGAAGGAGAATAGGAGGAGCTAAACCCGGAATTTTCCCGGTGAATAAATTACGCATGCGCAAAAGCGCGGGTGCTTACTATCTATATAGTAGAGATCAGTAATACGTGGTCACAATACTTCAACTAGCAACATCACTATGCAAAATATGTTACAGCCCTAAAATTTTCCTGAAGCTAGCTGTTTTATGACTTCATTGTAGAGCTCTGGCCGCCTCATCCCGAGGTAGTTGAGTCTAGAAGTGACAGGGAGCGAGATATTTCCCAGCAGCAGTGCTTCCTCACTGTCGCTCCCAGAATAAACCACAACTGTTCCGTTGGGATCACACAACTGGGAGCAACCATCTAGTCCACCACCTACGTAATTCACCAGTGCCACGTATACACTGTTGTCCAGTGCTCTTGTTGGTATGAAAAGGTTGCTGCACCGTCTGTTGTACTCAATCGAACTTGCAGATATTACGGAGATGAAGTTTGCACCAGACAGCGCAAGAGAGCGGGCCGTTTCACTGAACGAGGCGTCGTTGCATATCAGTATACCAATTTTCAATCCGCAACACTCGACTGGTTCTTCGAACCTGCTGCCTGGTGTGAACACAGATTCGTACTGTGGAGGAGCGGGGGAGATCCAGAGGTGCGTCTTGCGGTAGTTGACGAGGGAGGTCCCGTCTCTGTCGATGAGCTGGGCAGAGTTGTAGTAGACTGGGGCTCCGCTGGAGCGGTCCACCTCGGGGTAGCCGTAGAGCACCGCAATGTTGGACTCCTTGGCCGTCCTGGACAGCTCTCGAAACGACGGTCCGTCTCTCTCCTCGGCCAGCCTCTTCATCTCTTCCCCGGGGACGTGGTAACCGGTGAGGAACAGCTCTGGGAAGATGAGCAGCTCGGCTCCTGCAGACGCGGCTCGAATCATTTGCCGCTTCATTTTGTTTAGGTGGTTCCCTTTGTCTGCTTTGCCTTGAAATAATGCAACAACGACTTTATCCTTTGGTGAATCGTTAGCCATGGTCGGTTCCTCGTTAGGTTTTCCTTGCCTTTTAGCCATGGTCGGTTCCTCGTTAGGTTTTCCTTGGAACGGGTGGAGCATGTATATAAAACTGGTAAAACAGCGGTAACAACCACCAAAACAGCTGACGCGCACGCGATTTGCGCATGCGCATATATTGTGTTTGCCAGGCGCCACACAATGACCGATGAACGTCGTCTTGACATTGCTGCCTTCCAGGGCTCCACGGTGGACGGAGAGTGTAACTTACCCACGATGAAGGAGCAGGTGTCCAAGGCTGTGGCCGTGGGAGCCGAGCTGCTCATCTTCCCAGAGCTGTTCCTCACCGGTTACCAGGTCCCCGGGGAAGAGATGAAGAGACTTGCGGAGGAGAGAGACGGACCGTCGTTTCGAGAGTTGTCCAGGACGGCCAAGGAATCCAACATTGCGGTGCTCTACGGCTACCCCGAGGTGGACCGCTCCAGCGGAGCCCCAGTCTACTACAACTCTGCCCAGCTCATCGACAGAGGCGGCACCTCCCTCGTCAACTACCGCAAGACACACCTCTGGATCGACGAGGACGGCTACGAAAAGATTTTCACTCCAGGCGACTCTCTGTCCAAAGTCGTCGAGTGCTGCGGTGTAAAAATCGGCATCCTTATCTGCTTCGACCTGGAGTTCCCAGAATGCGCTCGATCTCTTGCTGTGGACGGTGCAGAACTAGTGGTAATCCCAACCGCCATTAGCACTCGTCTCCCTGCAGATCTCTCTGAGAAAATACCCTCTGTGGTAATCCCGACAAGAGCCTGTGAGAACAGAGTACATGTGGTGTCTGTCAATCACGGAGGTGACGATTTCCAGGGTCACTCGGTGTGTTGCGACTGCAACGGAGATGTGGTAGTGCAGGCTGGTTCCAATAAGCAGTTGCTTTTCTTTACCATATATCCATCTCTCCCTCCTGTTTATGACTACTTGACAAAGAGGAGACCCCACATTTATGACAATAAGCCCTGATGTTTCGTTTAGTCTCTTTTTTTTCTTCATGTGAAAGCTGTGCTGTTTACTCTAATGCGGGCAACATTTTTCACTCATACTATAGAGACCACCTTCCAACATTTTATATTACAATTGCTGGATCACTGTGCAAATATTGCTCAGAGGTGTGTTGGTAGAAGGGGTAGAATATTCCTGTGATTTCTGAAAGCACGCCTTTACACAAAACACTAACATAGGGGAGAGAAGAGAGGCCTACTGCGTACATGTGCACGAGTACACACTCGGTTTTCTCATGCTCATGAAGTCACACGACGGCTTCAGGTTAGGATCGACAAAAAACAGGGCCATTTGCTCATCTCTCCCAGCTTGAACTAGCACGTCACCGTTGGGGTCAGACGAGATCGAGTGTCCTCCGAAAAAGTCTCCACTGGAGTTTACGTAGGCAACGTAGAGCCCGTTTTCCCTGGCCCTACAGGGAATCATGCTCCCCGGGACGATCTTTGTTCTCATGCTGTATTTGATTGCAGTTGGCACACCGACAAACTGGGCACCTCTTAGTGCCAACGTCCGGACGCATTCCGGGTACTCCACGTCGAAACAGATGAGGACGCCTATCTTTACTCCGCAGCACTCGGCGATTTCTGCAAACGATTCGCCAGGCCTGAAGACTTTTTCGTAGCCTTCTTCGTCGATCCAGAGGTGTGTCTTGCGGTAGTTGACGAGGGAGGTCCCGTCTCTGTCGATGAGCTGGGCAGAGTTGTAGTAGACTGGGGCTCCGCTGGAGCGGTCCACCTCGGGGTAGCCGTAGAGCACCGCAATGTTGGACTCCCTGGCCGTCCTGGACAACTCTCGAAACGACGGTCCGTCTCTCTCCTCGGCCAGCCTCTTCATCTCTTCCCCGGGGACGTGATAACCCGTGAGGAACAGCTCTGGGAAGATGAGCAGCTCGGCTCCCACGGCGGCCGCCTTGCACAGCTGCGTCTCCATCTTGGAGAGGTTGGCGCTCACGTTAGCGATCTCGGCCGCTCCCTGGAAGAAGGCAAAGAGATGCTTATTCGTCTCCATTGTGTCCTAACTGTAGGCCGGGGACACGCATGTCCACGCCACGCACTCGCGCACAACCCGACGCATATACCTATACCTATCGTGCGTTTTTGCATTACGCACGCGCATGCGCAAGCACATGCAAAGCCCATCACACTCTGGTATTCCAAGTTTACGGCGTAAGATTACGGAGAGCTCTCGTGAGCCGACCACATGCTTTCTCGCCAAAAGGAGTGCACCATCATCAAGAAACGAAGACGGGACAGTCGCTGGGAGTGTTTCTGGCTAGCATAGGCCGACAAGGAGCGTGGTAAGACGTCTACTGGTCTTATACAAAGTCCGAGAATTTTGCCCCAAGGCCGAAATAAACCGTGTTTGGTAGCTTCGTCTCAAGTTGTATCTAAGTGCATCTCTCTACTCCCTTTTTAGGTGCTGACAAGATGCCTATAAACCAGGAGAAGTTGATTAAACTCCAACAGCAAAAAGAGAAAGCACAAATAGGCGGAAAGGTGTGTTAAAAACTGTGAATATTCTGACTCGACTGTGTGTGTGTGTGTCTGTTGTGACGTGTCTGTGTTGCATCTCAGGGTACAGCACGGAGAAAGAAGAAGGTTGTACACAAGACTGCTACGGACGACAAGAAATTACAAGTATGTGAATCATTAGATGAGTGAAGTGGGTTTGTGTGTGTCGTGGTAACATTTATCCTTTACCAGTCTTAGAGCTGCTGGTTCTCTAATGTCATCGTAGGTACATAATTAGTAGCCATGGGCCATTCTAATTGGCTGCATATGCAAGATAAGGAGGCGTGTCATTTAGTGTGTTTCGTATTGCATCATCGTCGTGTTCTGTATGTGAGTGTGTTAGCAGTGTTCTCATCACTGACAGAGCACGCTCAAGAAGCTGGCAATAAACCCCATACAAGGCATCGAGGAGGTGAATATGATAAGGACGATGGACACGTACTCCATTTCACCAATCCAAAGGGTATGTATATACTAACACACTGATCAACTGTTATTATTAGGCATGTGGGGTACAAAGTAATTGCTCTGCTGTATGTACTAAACTATTACGAACACTAAAGATTGATTCTATATACTGATTGCTGCATGCTGTTAACCTTATCTCTCTGTGGATGGTATGCAGTTCAGGCCTCCCTTGCTGCCAATACATTTGCCATCACTGGGACCCCCGAGGAGAAACGTAAGTAAACCTCCGATTTGGCTCAAGATCCTAATCTCTTCTCTCTTTCCCTCTTCCTACTTTATATATTTTTCCTCTTCTCTCTCTCTCTGTCTCTCTCTCTCTCTCCATTGCAGCCCTGACGGAGATGTTGCCGGGGATCTTTAACCAGCTAGTGGGTGTAAGCTATCTGTTCTCATGTCTGTCTCTCTCATACTGTATTCTGTATTGTGGGATGTATATAATAATACTTTCAAAGGAGAAGTCTTTCTTGGATAGGGATTCACCATTTATGCATCATCTCCCAGTTTTCATTTCTGTCGTTGATGGTGTCTCATCAATGGGATGGGGCAAACTCACTTGAAAATCACACCCTGCAGACAAAGAGCAATTAATTTTAGAAAGGGGGTTAGACAAATTTCTAGGTAGGGGGCATTCTCCTCCATGACATAGTATTGCATAACCATTGTTGATAGTAGCCTCTCAGTCTCTCTGCTGCCCCTCTCGTTGGGGCGCTGGTAATTGCAGGGTACTGAGAGTCTGAGCCACCTGCGGAAGCTGGCCCAGAATTTCCCCACTCAGGAGAGTGGAGGTGTGGGGGCACTGGCAGGCATGGGAGGGATGGCCGGGATCGACGAAGATGACGACGTCCCTGGTCAGTGTGTGTGTGTGTGAGACACTCCGTATAACTGTATAAACTTCGTGTAAAGTTGTTTCTTCGGTGATTTCACCAAAATTAGTTACACACAGTTTGTCGCAAAGAAACGACAGATTGCAGTGGCAATAATTCCAGCTGAAGTGAGGTGTTCTCGCCAAGTTTAACCCCACTAAATGCTTAGTTTGCCTTTTTTCAATGCGTATTATAGAATGGTCACTATGATAATATATGTTATGACTTTTTCACACACACACACGCACACATTATGTCCACAGATCTTGTAGAGAACTTTGACGAGGCTTCAAAAGCCGAGAACTAGTTCCCGCGGCAACCCACAACTGGTCACTGAGTGTGCATGTGTCAAAAACTCTCATCACACCAGTTTTTGCCACTGTGTGTGGGCATTATAATGGCAGTCTAGTCACAAACACTGCATGCTTGAATGTTTACGTTTCGACTGACCTGTACCTGTATTATTCACGTGTTTTTTGTTCTTCTTTTTCGGTTGTATCACAGATCATGTTCGTCGACAGATAAAAAATGTAATTGGCAATCGTTTAAATTTAACTAATTTGGCAAGCGAAGATGGGAAGCGAGGAAAAATTTAGTCGTCTGAATTGGACATCGTCAATGTGAACATGGCAAATTTCTCGCTCTATTATAATATACTATAGTTCACTCGCCACACAAATGTATTGCATTTATACGGTAAAAGATCAATGAAAAATCACTCTAAAGATTGGTTGCAAGTGATATGCCAGCCTGCAAAATTTCGAAACTCAGCACACACTGCTGTTCAACACAGTTCTAGAGGAGTGATCGTGAATCGTTCACGAATACGTGATCTTGTCTTGAGAGGAGTGGCCGCAGTCACCGAGACCGTAGAGAGAAACACTGCCGTTGGGTCTGATTGTGAGCCTCGTGATACTGCCATGGGCCAGCGTCATGCGAATCCAGGCCTGCGGTGGCAGCTGTAGAGCCCTGAGTGACAGCGAGAAGGTGAAAGAGAGGAAGGAAGAGGGAGGGATATGGGGTTGGTTACTCAACTCCTGTAATAACACCAGAAAGCTGTTAACTTCAGTGTAGGAGGGAAAGCATGTAATACCCCCATACTCTCCTGTTTTAGCAGCTGAAATTCACCGAGTGCAGTTCCAGGTTACCTGCACACAAAGTAGCGGATGACGTTGGCGTGGCAGACCAAGATCTCATAGCTGTCCTTCTCCTGCGAGGGAGGGGCGCGGTGGAAGTAGCGGCAGAACGCCGCCTCAATCCGAGATCCTTCCTGGAAGAAATCCTGGAGGAGAGAGAGACATAGCAGCTAACTCTTGAGGGGAAATTGTGTTGGAAGACGTGATATGGAGAAATTTTGCGAATTGCTTTTCCTTGCTGTGTATGACAATATGGGAGACTCTCAGATTTGCGGAAGATAAGTATGTGTGTGTGCGTGCGTATAAAACTGACGCTGTAATCAGGTCTCCAGTTCTTGGAGGGAGGGTCCGGAGGGAACGGAGCTCCTTCCCTGAGCAGGCCACAACTCTCAGTCGGCACATTGGGAAGACTCTCACTGCGTGCGTGTGTGTGTGTGTGGAAGACAAACCACTGGCAGTTGAGAATAGAACACTAGTAGCTGGTATACTATACCCTCATCCCTAGGTTCCTCTCTCGAGGAAAGAGCCTGAATACTAGCTAGATTCAGCTAGTATATACAAGCACACTATGCAGCTTTCTTAAGAGTTCTTTTCCTGATCCCTGTACCTATTGACCTATGAGTGTATCTATGGTACGAGACTAGACAGTGTCGAAGCTGACCTGATGATCTGAGCAGTCTCAGTGGCCCGGGGCAAGGTGGAGAAGTAGAGGATGGAGTAGTCATAGCCCAGGAGGCTGAGCCGTTCTCCCGTCTCCTTGGCCTGCTGTCGACCAAGCTCGGTCAGCTTCTTGAGTTTTGAGTCCTTGTGCCACATTTCATACTGGCCGTGTCGGATTAGGAAGAGGTGACGTTTGGCCTTCGACTGGGGCTCCTTTTTCTTCTCACCGTCTGTCTCTTCCGCGGCAGGCGAAGCTCTGTGGTCCCAGTTACGGTTCCACTTGTGAACACCCTTCTTGTACTGCCCTATGGCTTCCTCTAGGTCGTACGCCTTAGCCTTGGCTCTCTGGAGCGAGAAGCGTTCTCTGTTGGTCCATAGAGCGCCTGCGAGGACGCCAGACGTTGCTAACACAGCTGCAAATCGACGTAATCCCATCTAGAACACGCTGGATGAGTAAATCTACGGTGCAAAGAAGAGGAGACGGCCAGATTTTCTTATTAGAGCTCACTGACTCTTTTTAGTGCCCACCAGCACTTTTTCCGCACATGTGACGTCGTGGTCGCGCTGAGAGATGCCGCGTCTGACTGCAGAGCTCGTTGCAGAGGCTCCCCAGTTCACCAATGCAGTCAAGGACTGGGAGATTGACCTCAGAGGTGCGTTCGTGGAGGCGGTTTAGGCGGAAGAATGTTGGCGCGCCTTTTTCTATAGCTATTATAGTGAGCCTTTTTCGCGCTTCTCGGCTGTAGAGGGCCAGTGATTGTTCTCTCTCGCTCCCTCACACGCCCAGGCCGTGGAGGGTGGCGCGGGTAGACGGACTGGTCCTCCAGCTAGCTCTCTTGTCTGTGTGTGTGTGTGTGTTTGGTGCCAATGACTGGTCTCTCTTGTGTCAATGTAGGGAACAAAATTGCAGTTATAGAAAACCTAGGGGCCACTTTGGTAGGAGAAATTCACTGTATACACAATTTCTTTTAAGATGTCACTTTTTTGGGGACGTGCTAACGACTGATTTACTTTGTGCGTTTTTCAGGATCAATTTGACACCATTGACTTGTCGGACAATGAGATTAAGAAATTGGAGGGATTTCCCCTATTGAAGAGACTCAAATCCATTCTTCTCAGCAACAACAAGATCTGGTATGTGACGAGCGTTGTAACCCTAGTTCACAACTCTTTCTGTTGTATGTTGTATACAGTCGTGTAGCTGATGGCCTAGAGCAGTGTCTTCCTAAGCTGGAGACACTTGTTCTTACAAACAACAATCTGGACAAACTTGTACGTTCGTGATTTTCAGGCACAATAATACAGGTTTTATCTGCCCCTCTTTCCTTTCCTTTGCAGGAGGATTTGGAACAACTTGCTACCGTCACCACATTGCAATATCTGTGGTAATATTTCTGTTCAAAACGGTGTCCTAATCTATTAGGTGGCTTGTTGAGTCTGACCTCCCAGTTTGTGCACTGTAAAAAAACCTCTGAAAAGGGCCACCTTGGGAATGTCCTTTATTTAGAGTGATCCCTAGTGTGGAGGTAGACACACACTAATGTATTAGTCTGAGGGCTTCCACTCTTATTCAGATTGTCCTTTTTTGGAGGTTTCACTGTGTGAATACATACATGCCTTATATGTCTATGTTGCTAAACCTCACCATCCACTCTCCACTGTGTGCTGTGTAGTCTGCTGAGGAACCAGGTGACGCACAGACCTAACTACAGGCTGTATGTCATCCACAAGATACCTCAGCTTCGAGTACTGGACTTCAAGAGAATCAGACAAAAGGTGATACTATACTGTACATGTTTTCCACAATGATTTGCTGTATCTATCTTAACGTCTGGACCACCATGTGTACCCTCTGAGTACAGGTGCAGGACTGTTGATATATTATATATAACCTAGCCTTATTCAACACACAAGAAAAACAAATCTTAGCCACGATTATTCACCTCTGTAGGAGCGAGAGCAGGCAAAGAGGGCATATGGAGAGAAGAAACCGGCAGAGCCTCGCAAGTCAAAGACCTTTGTTCCGGGAGCCACCCAGAAGACCCTCCCTCCTCCTCCACCCCAGCCCTCTGGTCCTTCGCCTCGGGAAGTAGCCAGGATTAGGGTATGTGTGCTGTTGTAGAATGCGAAGTGGCTAAAACTCACACAACATTGTGCAATCCCGGCCCCTAAATATAGTGTTTGTGGTAATAAGTTGCTATATACCTCGTGACTTTTGTTTTGTGTATACACAATTTGCAACGATCCTTGGATGAAGTTTGTCTCTATGCCCCGAACTTTGAGTGCATATTATTAGAAATTCAGAAATTTTCAATCTCCTTCTGTTGCAGGAAGCAATTGCTAATGCCAAGAGCCTGGATGAAGTCCAGCAACTTGAGGCCATGCTGAAAGCTGGCCAGATTCCGGGCGACGTGGTAACGAGCAATCATCACGGGGGCACCCACAGCCAGGCCAGGGGAGGAGGCTACGAGATGGAGGAAGAAGAGGTGGAGGGGTGAAAAGGGACGGAAACCGTTCGACTTTTGTGATTTACAATACATGCATGTAGTCGAGGCCCGATGCAGTGATTGTTTTAGTTGTGCATAATGTGCTGTACACATGCAAGTTTTGAATCAGACTGACAAAAATACCGATCTGAAGCGCACTGTAAAAGACACAAGAACGGGTGTATATAATAATTATTATGACATAAATAATACGTGACACATACACAATTAAAAATAACGACGACTGATTGATCATGGGTACAGTGGTGAGTGTTTACTGCTGCTATACGTGAAAGCTTTCACCACATCCACACATTCCCTTTGCGTTTGGATTGTTGAAGACAAACTCCCGAGCCAGTTTCGTCTCTACGTAGTCCATCTCTGTCCCCAGTAGCGTCAGCTGAGCCTTCTTGTCCAGGAATATCCGGACTCCTTTGGGGACCAGACAGAAGGACCAATGAACAAGTCTCAATACGCACTACACATCATGCGTAATACAGGAGGGAAAACCGTTGTGCTTCACTGGGCAGAAACTTCGCCCCCCTTAGAGGAGAGAAATTTCGCGTATTGCCTGTTCCACTGTGCATTGTACTAGCCCACCAAGTCTGTGGAAGAGTTGGCTCGTGATTCCTCAGAATTTGCGACAGTTTTCTCCCTCGAGAGTTTCCTGCTACATACTGTGTTTTACCAAGGGGTGGTGGATTCACTCACCATCTTGAACTACTTCTTCGTCGAGTTTTCCTCTCTCTGTTGCATAGTCCATGGTGTATGAGAGTCCGTTGCAGCCTCTTGTTCTGACACCCACCCTCAACCCTACCTGTGAACCATGTTCAAACTTTAGCTCGGGGTTTTGCACGAAAGCACTTACAGCTTCTGAGTTTTCTGACAGAAGAGATCTCACTTTTGTCAGTGCACTCGGTGTCTGCGGAAGTTTGACAAAATTGGAAGATGGTTTCGACCGTCAAAAGCTCTCCTTACCAGTTCTAGTGCGGCTCTCTTCGGGACAAGCCTCCTCCCCTTGTTTACCGTCCTCACGGTGGCGCGTATAGCTGACTGAGCCATCTCTAACAGGCTTCTTCTACCTTACGACCATGTGTATGATCCCACTCGATCCCACCGGCGGTTGGTTCTGTTTGTTTGCGTCATCGGGGCCAAAGGTCAGTTGTTAATTTTCTATTTAACGCGCAGCAACTTTTCCAAATATTGCGCATCACTACGGCGGAAGAGAGGAAATGGCTCAGAGTGTCGACGAAGAATGCTTACTGGATAGCATATTAGCTTCTCTCGAAGATATCGGGTAAGTTTCGCTACTGCAGGAAAATAGATCCGTGAAAGTTCTATTTTTCAGCTACACGGGAGCCCTGGTAGAGGAGGGGAAGATGAAGGCGGCGATCGAAGAGGGGCTGGCGTCTGCGGCGTTCGTGGAGCTGGTGGTGACCGTATGCAGCGAGCTCAAGAAACGGAACCAAATGCAGGAGACAGTAAACAAACCCGCAGGTTCATCTTGGTAGTGTAGGTATTGTAGCCAGCTACGCGTTTCGCTCGTTTTCAGGATTGGCGGATGCAGAGTCGTTTCAGTTGGAGATGCGGGGGTTTCTGCAGGAGCTGTGCTGTCCCAACACAGAGCTCACGACCTCTCTCACCTCTAACTCCGCCAGACTCCAGCTAGTCGGTCAGTCAGTCAGTCTGTCTGGCAAGATACTACTACCATAGTACTTGGTGGGTGGCAGGTCACAGCTGGACAAACAAGCCTTTGTGTGGAGATTATGGTTTGAACAAGCCAGGCTGCAAAGTGCTCTAGATTGCTCCTGTACATTTCCATCGTTCTTTTGCACTGTGTCAATATTGTTGATTAACAGACAGAGGTCTCCCTGTCCTCTTCAGACTACCTACTGTCTGAGCTGATGACAGCCCGTCTGATAGACCTGCAGAAGAGCCAACAAGACCCCGAGCCAATGGAGACTGACCACCAGGAGCCATCGTACAGTGTACCGGCAAACCTGACTGCGATTCTCAAGGCCTATGGTCTGAGCACACCGCCTGCCCATGTCACCCCCCACCAGTTTTTCGGCAAACTCATCTCAAAAGTCAGTCAAATTCCTCTTTGCAGCCCACCCCCCTTTCTCTCTCTCTCTCTCTCTAGCTGAAAATGCAAACTTTAATATGCACCTTTTTATCTTGGGAAATGAAAAGTGATTTATTCGCCATTCACAACGAGATTTTTTCAAAATTGTTCACCAATAGTGCGAAACCTTTGAGGTATGTACATAGAAACACTGTATGTGTGTCTGCCCACGAGCAATTTTGTGCACGACACCCAAACTGCTAAAGTTTTGAGAATGACAGTGTGAACTCACAGTGCACAGCAGAGAGGACAGACAATTTCACACATATTGCATGAGTTGGATCGTTGGCCATTGACCACTCTCCACAGACGAAAGAGGTAGTGGCGATTGCTCCAGAGGGCTCCATTGGCCCGGGACTAGTGACCCAACCACTCACCATGGAACAGTGGGCATCGCTGGACAAGGTGAACGAGGCACTAACGAAGGAGTACTCCGTCCGAAGGCAGATGCTGCTCACCAGGTGTGACGTCACCGTCCAGTCGTTTCGCTGGAGCGAGAGGGCAAAGGTGAACACCTGTAATTAGCTCGCAATTTGCTGCCCCATTACGTTTGCACACTTAACTTTCAGAGTGCTCTAAACTGGCAAAGAGCTCCATTCAACCCATCATGTTTCGTTTTGAGAGAATTTCGTACTCGTATCAGATTTGTGTAGTTGCAAGCCTCCTGAATGGTGCGATATTTCTGTGGAATGTAGACTGAGTGGTGCTATCCATTACGTAATTCTTTACAGAGTACGTAATAATAGTGCACTCTTGTTTGTGCATTGTTCTCTCTCTCTCTCTCTCTCTCTCTCTCCATCTCTCTGAAACCAGGGCAAAGAGGAGGAGATGACAGGAATCCTGAAGTCACTCCGCGAGCCGCTGAGCCCCACGGCTTACGTGAGCATCGCGAGAGTTCTGGCTGCCAAGTCAGATCTGCTGAGCGTCCGGAGAACTAACACTGGGAGAGAGAGAGCCGTCGCCAAATGCGACATCAACAAAGTCCTCATTGGAAAGGTGAATCTTGATACATATTATTATTATAGTCATTTGATTTAGTTCTCAGTCTTGTCTCTCTTGACGTGAGCACAATCTTAAGTGGGAGACGTTCAAGCGAGAAATCGTTCACATTTCAATAGCAAATGTTCGCAGACGGCTAATAAATGTAGCTATATGCAGTTGTTTTGTATCGACATTGAGACATGGTCTGCAACTTGCCCTTCTCTTATTGTGTGTGTGTGTCTGCGACTGTGAAAGGGTGCGGAGGTACAATTTATCACTTACGGTCATACTCTGTGTGAGAAGAGTAAAATTCCTCTCCACTAAAACACTCTTTAGCTAGTGGTATGACAGTCTTTCCCTGTCCCCTTCTCCTCTCTCTCACACACACACTGTTGTCAGGTCCCGGACAGAGGAGGGAGGCCACAGGAGACCAGACCTCCTCCCGAGATGCCGTCATTCAAACAGAGAACGGAGCCTCCTCAGGACCAGCGAGGGGGAGGAGGAAGGGGCGGAGGAAGGGGAGGGAGAGGGAGAGTGCAGGGAGGTGAGAGAAAGTACTGTGTATCTTACACCGTGTGAACCTAAAACTTTAGAACCAGTGTCTCTCTCTAAGATACTATTGTGTTTGAAGAAATGAACTACCAATTGGCAAAAAATAGCATCCTTTGTTTGAAGGTACCGTTATTAACAAAATATGCAGCCAAATTTAGCATGTTTATGCATTTTGGCAATTCTCAAAAGTGTTCGGTTTTTATCGACTTGCTCAGGGTGGTCAGGAGGAGGAGGGAGAGGGAGAGGAGGAAAGGGAGGGGGTTGGGACCGACAACACAGCTACGGAGGAGGGGGTGGGGGAGAGGGAAGAGGAGGGGGGAGAGGGAAGAAGGGAGGAGGGTGGGGGAGACAAAACACGTTCAGCGGAGGAGACCAACAATACTACTATTCATAGAAACTGCCAGATTTATACACAAAAAGATAGGGAAAATAATAATATTGCTTCAATTAATATTATGATTGTGTGATGGTGATTCTTTGATGAATAATAACTCTCGAAGTTGTGTAATTTTGGCAAGGTTTTCTCTGTGACTGGGCGAAGTATTGTCAAACTGGCTCTTGACCATGATTAGTGGGACGGGTCTGTTTCTGTTGCTCAGCCTGTTTCTCATGGAGGACAACCCCTCAATCATGGCCTCGTCAAATGCCGGACTCTGTGAGGCTGCCGAGAGTTGCTTGCGATTTGTCTGAGTCGTCGTGGCAAAATGAGCAAAGACATATCCAGTCATGAAAGCATCGAACCCGGCTCTGTGTCCATACGACGGCCTCTGATCGGTGCTCTCTTTAGAGTCTTTGGCAGATTCTTGGAGCTCTGAGCCAACTATAGGGGCATGGTTGGAGTAGGAGAGGTAGTGGGGACTAGTGGTGTTGGCGTTTAGTAGGAACTGCACTAGAAGTTTGGTGAAAGGTTTGTTTGTCATGATGTGGTCCAGAGACGTGGGGGTTTGAGCTGCCGAAGTTTCCAGTTTTTGTCGAGCAGCTGCCAGTTCTGCGGCAAACTGTTCAGATAAACTCTGCTGTTTTTCAGTCGGCACGGTGTGTGGCTGTGGAGGTGGAGTCACTGCTACAGTGCTGTTTGGCAGACCTGGCGCACTCTTCTCCATTTGACATACCGGCCTGCCTTTTCTCTGCGGTGATATCAACGTTTATGTGTACAGCTTAGGATTATACTTGGTGGAACCTCATATATTATGTCTATCTACTTGCTCCTAACACTTCTGAATAAGACACCTCGTAAAAGATGAACACTTGTACCCCGAACTAAGGACACCTCCCCGTAGAAAACACGCTCCTAGATTTTCCTTTATTCAGAGGTTTCGGCTGTATTGTGGGAGGTTTTGTTTACCGTCCTTTCTCTTTCTCTTTCTCCTCATCTCTCTGATTCTGAGCTGATGCTCATGATGAGCCAACACTGACAGTACGTTGTGGGAGTGAAGGCAATTGGCCTTGTGACAGAACCCATATCTCTGAGAACAAAGGTAGATTAAAAAGTAAGGTGACAGTTATTGCAATTGAAACTTCTCTAACAAACTGCAACGGACCAAAGGACATGCTTCGATATCATAAAACTGCCTTTATAGAGAGATGATCTGCATTATGACACTGCATGGTATCTATCTCCTACCTTGCCCAAATGTTGCTGTCCCCCCTATAATATAAGGGTGTCAACGATTTTGCATTTTTTGTAGGCACATGAGTAGAAAAAGAGACGACCCAACTGTCCTTAATGCTTTAACTAAAGTTGGAGTATGGAATGGTAATGTCTTCTATCTTTCTGCACCTATCCCTATCTCGCCCAAATTTTGATGTCCCCCCTAAATAAGGGTGTCAAAGATTTCGCATTTTTTGTAGGCACATGAGTGGAAAAAGAGACGACCCAACTATCCTTAATGCTTTGACTAAAGTTGGAGTATGGAATGGTAAAATATTTCATCTTCCATTGTCCTTTACTGATGTTTCAAAAACCACATGCAATTCTCATTAAGAGTTTCAGTGAGAGAGTGTCAGTGAAAGATATTAGGATTTCTGGACTCACGGAAAAGTTTTCACAGACGGTGATGTCAGCGAGTTCTTCCAGAGAGGGGGAAGGGGGAGGAGAGAGGACCACTGACTCCATTTGAACAGAGGATGGCAGAGAGGGATGGTGGAGTTTGATATTTGGGGAGCCCCTGCTCGTTAGCACCTCGTTATCTCTCTGACTGTGGAGTAAGATATTTTCGTTGTCACAGTTCATTTATATACATCGGAACTCTTCTGCAGTTTCTCATAAACTATATATTTCCCTGAAACAACTAACACGGGACACTTTTTTCTGTCCACTTGGAGGGTAGTCCACACACACAATCGTATTACACACTATGACATTAGATATGGACATATCCACTATAATTATTATAAAGTTTCATATTGTGGTAGCTGACCATTTTCTGAAAAGATATTCAAGAAATGTTGCCTCTTGTGGAATTTGGTATTGAGCAATGGCCTTGGTGTCGTAGACTCCGCCCACAAACATCTCGGAGAAGTCCGCCATTAGCGTCCCCAACGAGGGGGGCAGAGGGGAGTATAGGTTGCCATAGAGAAAGAGAAGGTCGATCCAACCGTTGTGGACCACCAGTGGTTTACCGACTGCTAGGATGGTGGCCAGCAGATGGTGCAGACACACTCTCTTCTCGTCCCGCTGCACCTGAGATGTACATTAGTATAGGAACCTTAGCTTCGCAGTATATACATAGAAAGAATTCTGGTGTTTCAAAATGTGCAATTGAAGTCACCAGTCACGCACATAGTATTTTCACTAGTTAAGCAAACCTGTACTTTAAAGCCAGACCTAAAGGTAGAATGGCCACAAGTATATAAAAGTTAGAATTGAAAGGACCAGACAATTATTTTGAAGGCTATTTAAAATGCTGCAATGACTATTATTTCACTTGTAGCTCACCTCCATTGGACCAGGTGTGTAGGGGATGCCCCTGGCAAATTGCCTGTTGAAATCGAATCCGTGTTGAACGAGGAAGTGGGCAGAGGAGGGGTCAATGGTATACGGTCTCTGACACATCAGCCACACGTTAAACACCTTTACTTCCACTCCTACTGACACCACATCTTTTTCTCCGTGTGCCGAATCTTCTAACACCGCTATTCCCGGTCCAGCCTCTTTCCCTAATGCCAGCGTAGCATTTATTTCCCGAGCGGATTCTTCTAAACCTGGTGCAGTTTCTTCTAACACCAATGCATCATCTCTTTCAGGTGTAGTTTCTTCCAGGGTGTCACTTCTTTCTAGTGGCACTGCTGCAGTATCGTTTCCTTCAAGAGCAGTTTCTGTTACTGTCGGTGTATGAGACTCTCTCATTAACCGAGTGGTGGTTGCAAAAGGCTCAGCGGTATGGTTGGCATATTGAGAGTTAGTATTCTGGACCCTCTCCCTGCTTTCCAAGGGCTGTTTCCACCGGTAACAAGCCACACCTAGTGACAGCATCGCTCGGGTTTTTACCGCCTCGCATGCATCGCTGTACCGAGTGTGGATTGTGCTTGAGAAGGGAAATATAAGTGGCGAGAATAACATGAAACAGTTGGGAAAATTTTCCAGTTGACTTACTGTCCTTTTCCACGGCCAATGACGTCACCAAGACCACTCAACTCCTGCACAGATAGGGGGTAAAAAGATCTTCATACCCACTACGCGCATGCGGTAGTGTGTCTCCGCGTGCAAAACTACCGCACGCGCGTAATTTGGAACGGTCAAACTATGCGTACACAGGCTGGGGTGTGTGCTTACCAGATCCAGAGCAGTGAAGTGGGCATTTCTGACCGCCTCCAGAAGCAGAGGCCACGTCTCTGGGGCAGACTCGCTGTCCACGTCCACAAGTGCTAACACCTCCGCCATTTTATTGCGCAATAAAGCTTCGGTTTGTGGACTTCGACCTCCGACGCACGTGGGATAGAAAACAAGAGAGATTATGGATGTTGCTTTTGAAGACGGTATTACCATTAACAAAGCCTACGCCGCCAAGTACGAGGCGAAAAAGCGGGCAGAGGAACTCTCGAAGCGTAAGTTACACACAACAGAGCCTCTGTAAACCGTTGCACGACGGAAATATTTTCCCACCGTGTTGCTCTCAGTGCGGGACCAATACGGAGACGTACCGCTGGAAGCGTCGGAATCCAGCAGTTCGGAGGAGGAGGAGGATGAGGATGCGGAGGTTTGTCAAACCTCGGAATAAGGGAGGGGCACCGTGATAGATCGGCAGAACCATTATAGTGTGTCTTTATAGAGCAGTGTTCTTTATTCAGAGGCTCTTTGTCAGAGGTTTGACAATAGTATGAGTGTATCTACTGGTGTATGTGTGCGCAGATGCTGACAGCTGATGTGGAGAAAGACTTCCTTCGAACACTGTCTCTGATTCACAGCAGAGATCCCAGAATCTACGACAACAAGACCCAGTTTTTCAGGAAAGACGGTAAGTACAGTACACTGTTTGGTGTAAATTTTTCATGGGGAGAAAATAATTTTACCCTAAACACGAAAATTAATTTAGGTATAGCCAATCAAAATAGTGAACTCAGAGTTGAATCTAGCTGTTGGTTTCCTGCTGATGTGTGTTGTACTTCGCTGAACTAGAGAATAAAGAGCAGAGGGAAAGAAAGGAGGAGAAGAAGGAGAATAAACCAATGTTTCTGAAGGACTATGAGAGGAAGCAGTGTTGGAGAGAGGACCCCCCGTTATGGACGGAAGGAGGCGACAAGGGACGGGAGGAGGAGGAAGAAGGGGACGTACCCCCAGCCCCGTCCCCGTCCCCCCCGTGCAACTCCTCGCCCCCCCCCCCCTCCCCCCACTCCCCTTTTAACCCCTCCTTCTCCCCCCCTTTGTGCCTTCCTCCCCCCGTGGGCTGAGTTGGGTGTCACCCTGCTGTTTCCACTCACCGCACCGTATTATACACCCCCCTCCACTTGGAACCCCATACAGCCAATCTTCTCATTGTAGGGCGATGCGGTGCACTAGCCCACAACAGGAGGCGGTCACTGCAGTATTGACTATGTGAACGGACACACACCCCTAGCGGCTTTCACACACCCAGAACGAAAGAGCGGAGGGCTTGTAAGTTCACCCCATACCAGAGACAACTCGCCACGCCGGGAAAGACTCTTAGTAGCCACCCATCTTATTATCCGTCAGTTGCTTCACGTGGAGTCATCACCTAAACAAACAAACTTCTTGTTCAAATGCAGAAGATGCGCCATACACATCATCAGAGAAACAAGGAGCAAGTGAAGGTCCAGATTTCACCCGGCCACGCAGAGAGGCCAGGAGGGAGGGACGGAGAGAGTCTGTTGACACTTAGAAAGAAGGGACCCAGGAAGAAATGTGAGTTAAATGTAAGGAGTATGGCTTGGGTACAACACCACCACCCACATGAATTGGCGTACCATCCTCTCCACTGGGATGTAGCAACAACATTTTCTGCGATTTTACTAAAAAATTTGCATTGCCCTCCAGTCAATTTATGGGTATGCAACCCCCCCATTTTTGAAGTGAAACCCTTCCAATGTGCCATAGTCCTCAAATCTGTCTCACGTGCCTAATGACGTTGTGTGAGTTAATAACGCGTTATCATGTCCCAGTCACCGCCACCATGTAGAGGGAAGACGGAGAGACCGGCCGCTGAGTCCAGTGGTTGAAGGGAGACGAGGAGAGAGGTGAGGGAGGGGAGGAGGAAGTTTTTCGGCGGTCATCGGCGCCTCTGGTCGGCTAACTGACAGGGTGGGTCTCTGGCGAGACATTCCTCAGAGATACATCCTCAAACGACGGTTCCTCGTCGACAGAGACACCTCCACGTGTTTCGCAGTGGGAACATAATAGATCACCTGCTACAACTGGCCGTCGTATAGCTTGTATCGACCCCCTTAGTCGTGTCTGCGTCATATAACTGAGATTCTTGGCAGTTCACTTGTGCACACGACAATCACGTGGTTTTTTGTCACCTTACACACCCGTGTACAGCTAATATTGACACCATCACCACTCCTTATAGCAATTTATGGACTTTATCTACCCCTCGTCTACTACCTAATTATTACTAGGCAAACAAAGGAATCCACCCCATTTTATGAGCGTGTACTTGAGCAATTACTTGATATCTGTCACTGATGCACATTTGTGTTCAACGTGGTGTACGTGTTTACGGTTGCTTCTCATTTGGAATTAGGCTCGGGTGCCCGTCCTCATTACACGACCGATTGTGGCGCGGAGACTCTGAGGAGGCAGGGGAAGAGAAGAAACCGTGGGCGTGTACCGAGTGCACGAGGATGCACCCCCCCCCCTACGCAGACAGAAGAGTCACCCGAGAGAGGAAGTTCAATAAGATTCGAGGACCGGCCCCCTTCGGCAGGGGACCAGGTCAGCGGACGTCCGTAATGTAGTTGAGGTATAACTGTTGGTGCTTCAGCCTACATCGCTGCTCGAAAAACATGTCAATTTATGATCTCCGACAATCACACAGATCACTTCGCACACACCCAACACTTGATTGTCTCAATATAAGTCCTTGTGTCTACCAAAACGCGAACTAATCATCATTTCCTATTTTGAACTCTCTGAGTCAAAACTTCAGCCGACGTACAAACGACACAGGTCAAGCTATTGTATCGGCGTAGTAAGCTAGGGCAGGAGAACACTGCTGATAGGCGCTCCCACCGAAACCAAACTCTAATCTGGTGCCTAGACTAGTTCCAGGAGTGTCCCTCCGGGTCTTTCAACGCGCATTCGTACATTAATGCGGATTGGTCTGGTGTTCGAGCCGAGGTAGCCGTAGTGATTCGCGAGGTCCAGTTCTGTAGCCGCCCCGCACTGGTCTTTGCAGGGATATGAGAGAGCCACACTTCTGGTACGTAGTCCACCGCGCAACGCCAGTGTAACCGGCGCATAGTTCAGAGTGTCGCGGAAGCCAACGGTGTAGTCAAAGCGAGCCATTAACTGTACGCTGTAATTCACCCTGATGTGTGAGGAGCAGGTCTGGGTTATCTGGCAGGCAAAGGCGTTGACGTCGCACCTAATTATTATCTCTTCGTGTTCCATTTGTCCGGACAGCATGGAGCAAGTTGAGCTTGGTGGCAAGATGGGCATGGTCGGACCTTCCTACCCCGCGAGTGTTGTGACCGCTCCTCCCCTAACAATACCAGCGGTTCATTTATGGCCCCAGGGACCTTGAGGTCTACGTAAGACACTGTCCCCACGCTCCCCTGCTCCCCAGCTGCCACCGGGGACAGAATTTCCACGTGGTCCCCTGGGCACCCTGCCCCCTACCCGCTCCAGACTGGGACCTTCTGCACTTGCTCCCCGCGACAAAATTGCATCTCCCTTTCTTTCCCTTCTCCTGACCCCATCTCTCCCGTCCCTTCTCCGTCCCTTGTTCCTTTCGCATGAAACCTAAAACTGGGGCATCTCTCGTTTCCTTCAGGGACGTTGCCTGGGACCAAATTAGCCTCCAGGTAACGTGGAAAGTTCATTGAGTCAGTTAAAATTTTTTTTGTGTAGTAGTACAGTCCCAATTTCGAGAGGGTCCTTGTGCGCCTTACCTGAACGTGAGCAGCCACGGCCCTGCCGGTGCAGCCTGACAGCAACGCTAGACTAATAGCCAACAGTAGGGAATTTCATCACCACATGACAACGTTTGCGCCTCACCTAAGTGTGTAGAGTGATACCTCTGGCCGAGCCAGACCCTTGCTGATTGTGACTTACGATTTCTAGCGAGACACCGATCTCGTTTCCAGTTTCGTTAGTAATGCCGCCGGAATGTGCAGCTAATACTACAGGGCTAAATTTTTGGAA